CTCCCTGCTGCGTCCTTTATGTGTGGAAGAGGAAAGAGATGCATTTAAAGCATCCAGGCTGGACAAGGCAGGATTCCTCCCCACGCACAGCCCTCTGGCATCTGCAGGAAATGAGGCAGGAAGAAGGTGAAATGTGCTTTTCTCTCCCCTGAGCCCCCGTCAAGCGCATGCTGTGTAAGTAAGAGGGTACAAAAGGCAGTTGTGCCTGGGAAAGATTCATTTGGGGGACCCTGGAAAACCAGTTGGACAGCGTGGGCAGTACTGGGCTGATGGGCTATTTATGTACTTGCTATTACTATTATCAAGGGACATGGGTAGCACTGTGGTCTAAACCACAGAGCCTAGGGCTTGCCGATCAGAAGTTTGGCGGTTTGAATCCCCGCGATGGGGTGAACTCCCGTTGCTCAGTCCCAGCTCCTGCCAACCTAGCAGTTTGAAAGCACGAAGTGCAAGTAGATAAATAGGTACCACTCCGGCGGGAAGGTAAACGGTGTTTCCATGCGCTGCTCTGGTTTCACCAGAAGTGGCTTAGTCATGCTGGCCACAGGACTCGGAAGCTGTCTGCGGACAAACGGCAGCTCCCTCGGCCTATAGAGCGAGATGAGCACCACAACCCCAGAGTTGTCTGCGAATGGACCTAACGGTCAGGGGTACCTTTATCTTTACTATTACTATTATCACCACTACTGATGATGTAAGGGAGGGAGAACCCAGCAGCAGTCCTGGTTTGTACAGTCAGGAACACAGGCACCTGCCTTACCAGAGTCAGACCCTTGGACCCATCTAGCTCAGTGTGGTGGCTCTGAAAGGTTTCAGACAAGAGGCCCCTTTCAGCCCAACCACAAGATGCCAAAGTTTGAACCCAGCTCTTTTGCATGCAAGCAGTGAGCCATGGCCCTAGACACAGCACACACACAGAAGAGATGGCTGTACATGCCAGGGCTGTACACATCCGCCTTGTGGTTCTGATGTGGGGCTTCCAATCAGGTCAATTTGCCCCGGGCCAACCTGGGGGCCACCCACAGCAGCTCGGATCCTGTCCCCAAATTAGGACATAAAAAGAGCCCTGTCTTCCACTGCCTCCCGCAGCTTGGTCAAACTCATGCTGGTACCTTCGAGAACACTGTCCAACCATCTCGTCCTTTGTCATCCCCTTCTCCTTCTGCCCTCAATCTTTCCCAACATCAGGGTCTTTTCCAGGGAGTCTTCTCTTCTCATGAGGTGGCCAAAGTATTGGAGCCTCGAGGGAGCACCCTGCAAGCCAAAAGACTGATGCCTCTGATGAATGCTGAGGAGCAATCCTTTTGGGTGGGGGCATCAGGCAGGAAGGAGAGCCAGGAAGAGTCAGGCTCCTGCTACCTTCTCTCGGGAAGATGGGTTTTCCTCTCTGATGGCTGCCCCATGACAGCTCCAGATAGCTCTGGGTTGTCCAACCCAACCTGTCCATCTGTCTCAGCCCGCATCAACTCACACCTCAATCCCTCTGAACAGGCCTGATTTGTCTTTTTCCAATGTGAATCCATGTCCATCCTCATATTTATACAGCCCCATCCATAGCACGGCACTTTACAAAGAGTGAGGCAGTTCACAATCTAGAAAAAGATGTGAGGAAGAAACAGAGGTAGCAGATGCAGGGAAATACATGATTAATGCAAAAGCATGGATTCTGAACTAGCTGCAACATGGTAATGTTTTGCAGAGGGGAGAAAATGCCCCCCACCCCCAGAGCTATTCTGCATGGGGGGGCAGGTGTCCATTCTCAGTAGGTACATTTTGCTGCCCTGGCGGCAACCACCCTCCCCTTTGCTACTTGAATAGTCCAATCATAAGACAGACCAATTTGGCAAATGATTTCTTTTGCAAATTCCTGTTATGACCGCAAGAGGGCACTGCCTTTCCAAGCAAAATCTATCTAGAAGCTGATTTCCAGAGGGGGAGTCCAGGTGACTGCTTTCTGCTGTGCTTTCAAGCATCTTTACGATGTGGCCTTGAACTGGCTGGGATACGTCTAAGCAACAAAGTGGACCAGAGATTCCACTTCCTGTCCTCCATTTCTTCTCTCTCCCCCCCCCACTCCAGCCGCTTCCTGGCATCAAGGGCCATTATCCTTAATAGTGATTGAGATTATTTTTTTGCTAAGTACAAGGGAAATGGGATCCCAGGATGACTTAAAAATACCAGTTGCCGTGACAACACAGCAGTGGATGATAAGGAGACCTCATTTGTGGCTTAATGGCTGGGAGAGAACAGCTAATTAAACACCAGCCTGACAAGAAAATTAGCAGGTGAGCAAAAGCCTTGTCCAACCTGTCTCTCCGTCTTCATTGAGGTGATCATTATGGTCTGGTGGTATTATTATTTTATTCTTCCCCTCTGCAGTTCGACCGCTGTGTATGGCCACCGGGAAATGAAGCAATAGGGATTCTGCAGTGGCAGAAAAGGCGGTAGCACTTTAGGTTGCAAGCGGGGCAATTTTTTAAAGAAAGGAATCCTGTTGTCGTGGACTGGTGTAGTCACAGAGTGGTGGTGGTGGGGAACCAGCTGGGGAACCCCCAGGGGAAGAAGGTTCAGAACCCGGGAAGTGGTGGTAGGATGACAATAAATGGTCAGAGGGAAGAGAGGGAAAAGACTGGGGGAAGGAGATGTTGGAAGCTAAAGGGGTAACAGGGCTCAGGGGGTTAGGAGAGCCTGTAGCAGAGAGAAGTTCAGAAACAGAAGTGGGAGAGGACGAAGGCCAAGAGGCAGAGAGGAGTCTGGCTGGTGAAGAGGCACAGGTGCCTCTCCCTCCTGCTGCAACAAGCTTCCCTCTCCTCAGGTCTCCCAGAACCAGGAGAGGCATGAAGAGGGCAGAGAAGTTAGCTTCATGCAGGCGCAGTCTCAGATTACTTGGGGAAAACCCTGGAGGGGAGGCGACTAGGGCAGCTGTGCGGAGGTGGGGGCCTTCAGTCTCATCAACTGCTTCATGGGGGCAAGACCTGCTGGAGATGAGCTGCTGCACTCTTTAGGCCTCCTGTGCAGATCCTGTTTTTTGCTAACTTCAACTTGCTTGGTGTACCGTATTTTTCTCTCTATTACACGCAGATTTTTTCTCCTAAAAAGGAAGGGGAAATGTCTGTGCATGTTATGGAGCGAATGTGGGGGGGGGGGTCCCTGGAGCCGATTAGGGGAGCGCAGGAACAAAAATCAGCAAAAATCAATCGTGCGTTGTGTCCGAGAGGGAAACCTGAAAAGAGGAAGTGGTTGCTTTCCTGCATTCTGCCTCAGGGTCTTACTGCCCACCCTCCTCTGTTTTGTTGCTGTGTTTGCTCAAACGGAACAAAGAGCAGGCAAATCCCCTCCCCTCCAGGCAAGCAGAGGGGAAAGCAGAGGTCTTTCCTTCTAATTCCTCTCCGTGCTCCTCGCAGGCAGCCAGAAAACATGCAGGAGGAGAGAGAAAGCTGGCTTCAGTTTGTGGAAACTTTTGCCTTTCTTTCTTCCCTCCCGTAAAATCCCTCTCCTGCTTTCTTAGCCAGCTGCTTCTCTGCACACCGCTCTCTTGTCCCTTCTGTGTTTTTCCTTCACTCCCCACTTAAAATGTAGTTACAAAGCATGGATCCACATGGATCCTCAGGATCTTTGCATTGGGCCACCCCAAATTCACCATCAGATCACATAGCAGCCTGCCCCCCAAAAATCACACACCCACTGTTGCCTGGGGCTGCAATGGTGCAAAAATGTGGTTAAAAAGCATGGATCCACATGGATCCTCAGGATCTTTGCATTGAGCTACCCCAAATTCACCATCAGATCACATGTCTGTGGCCACAGCATGAAGCACAAAAATGATACATCCACTGTTTCATTCAGAATTTTTTTCCTTGTTTTCCTCCTCTAAAAACGATGTGCGTGTTATGGTCAGGTGCGTGTTATAGAGCGAAAAATACGGTAATTTACTGCTGGCTTACTGCTGTCACCAGACTTTCAAAAACAAAGGAACCACTTCCCATTCCAGTCCAGGGATGGGAAATCTTTTTCATCCCGAGGGCCAGATGCCTTTAGGGGCACAGGCATTGGTGGTGGGACAATGATGGGAGGTCAGAGGGAGAAGAGGGAGCAGTCTGCAGGGAAGAAGTGTCGGAATCTGAAGAGGTAACAAGAGTTTAGTGAGCAGGAAGAGGCTGTGGCAGAGGGCAGTCCAGAAACAGAGGCAGAAGCAGATGGGAGTCAAGAGGCAGAGTGGAGGCAGGCTGGTGAAGAAGCCAGGCAAGGTCTCCCCATCCTGCTGTGACCAACTCCCCTCCATCCTTGGTCTCCCAGAACCCACAGAGGTATGAAGAGGGCAGAGCAAAGAGAGACAAGTATGACTGGCTATCTTTGTAGTTACTCCATTTTTAAATTGAATTTTGTAGCTTTTTCCAGCTCTTTAGTTGAATGTTATTGCTAAATTTGTTGAATTATTGTGAGCCACCTTGTACTCTTGGTTACAAAGAGGCCAGATATAAACACTTTAAATAAATAGACAAACATATAAATAAACTCCCATTTTCCAGCTGAATGAACATACAAAGCCCTTTCTAACAATTGTTTCAAACAATTTAGTGAAACAGTGCTGAGCTCTGTGTCCAACAGCTGTGTCGCAGAGTGTGGTCTAAAGGCACCTGAGGCCACCATATTGCTGAAGCTAAGCAGGTTTGTGTCCTGGGTCAATGCATGGATGGGTTCCCTCCTGAGAACAAAATGTATACCACCTTGTGGTTTCCATGATGGAAGAAGGGATATGTGACTAACATCAGTGTCTTCATTTCTGGACCAGAATTCCAACAGGTTAAAATAATTATAAATGGTTCCGTTACATTGTAATTTAAAGAAATTATTCTGAAACACTGCACCCTTGTTCCAGAACGTAACTGGGGCTTCAGTGTTATTAAATAGTCATCGAGGGACACTGCTAAAATGCAAGGGCAAACGTGTGTTGTTGTTTTTTTTAAAAAAACAGAACTCTAGACAAAGGCAGAACTCGATTAGATTAAAAAAGTGTATTGGATATCCAATACCAAATAATAAACATGACAGTATTAAAAATTTATAGAGTATACAGCAAATACTACAGGAAAAAAAATGTACAGAAAGGAAGAAGTTTACAGCAGTCCTCAGAACTCTCCTACATCAGAACTGTAAAACAATATACAGAGGTCTTCCCACCCCCTTCTCCATATTCAGCTGGAGGAAGCTGCCACAGAGCAGCTTAGCTATGACACTACAAGATACACAATGTTCCAAATTTAAAATCACAAGATATGTAAAAAACAGTGTTAAAATGTGAAAAAGTGCAATACATATTGTACACTGACTTGAATAAATGTTTCCTTTTTTGTTTTAACCTTAAAAAACCAACTTTGAACAGTTGTTTTATTATTAAAAATATCCCCCACCCCATTCCCAGATTCATGGCAATATTGACATTCATGGTGTTCGACGTAAAGTAGCAATATATTCACAAAAATCCACCAGTGGGGGAAATACTGAGTACACATGATGGAATTTCTTTGGGTATAGATATGAAAGAGAAATGTACACATCTGAGGAGCGGAATGCGTGCACTAACTGAATTCAGTGGACGCAATGAGGACCCTACGCAAAGGATTTCCTGTTCTTCACAAGAACTTTGCATGTACAAAGGAAAACAGCCACGTGGAACATTCCCTTTCGCAGGAATGGGAAGCCCCTTTTGATTATAGATGCCCACCCTGATTATACAGGGCTCTGGATCATACCAAATAGTCCAGATCCAGAGAAGTGCATTTCAACACCTGTGGGCCTTTTAATGTACTATTAAAAAATTCTCCTCTCCCTCACTGGAAGCTCTTTCTGATTTATGAGGCGTGTGTGTGTGTGTGTGTGTGTGTGTGTGGCACCTCTCCCCTTCCTTCTGCATACCAAAGTATTAAGGAAAATAAAAACCTCCACCACACATACAGAGAACAGATAATTGGATCCAGGCCAGTGTCTGAATCCTTCTCTCTCCCCAACCCAAACCTCATCTAATTTTACTCAATGCCTATTTTGCAGGTGTGCCAGTTTGCTCTTACGATGGACTTTTTGCTGACTGCCCCAACCCAAAATAAGCATCCTATTAACCTATGAGAATAAACTGGGGAGGAATCTACACCCACGTACTATGACTGTGAATGTCTCTGGGGCATTAGGATGTTTACTGTTGGAAGACAGAACACTGAGCTAGGTGAACATGGCACTTAATTATCTCATTGTAAATTCAATACAGTATTTAAAAAATAAATGGCTTTTCTTATGCATATGTTATAGCTGCTAATCAGAATGAATTAATACATTTCTTCAGTGCTCATCATCAGAAACCACTAGTCAATTTTAGTCTGTCGGCATCCCTATTTTTCATAATTGCTTCCAAGAAATCTTCAAGATGAATCTGCTGATAGAAAGCCAGAAGCAAATACGAGTCTGGAACTCTGTGGAGGGGAAGCAGCTTGAAGGAGTTGCTTCAGGGAAAGGAAGGGAAGGGCTGGGAAGGGTTAAGCATCCCTCCTGTCCACTACCTCTTCATCCCTGTAAGTAATTCTCTCCTGATACTGGTTCTCAGTAGAGAGCAGTGGCTGGGTGTTTTCAAACTTGAGTTAGCCAGTAATAAAAACCATTCTAGCCTTATTCACATGGAAATTTAAAGGATCCAGTGAAGTCTGCCTGAGATCAGAGCACTGCAAACTCCAAGGGTTATGGGCTATTTCCTCCAACCACACTGCTAATACTGACCCTAAAATAACACTGCTTTACACAGAACAAATTTGCTAAAGAAAACTACCTTTTGCTTCTTTTCCACCTTCCAACCCTTTTGAGTGTACACCTGAATTCCAAAAGCAGCAGGATTTTTTTTTACAAAATCAGTCTCTCTTATTATGTTAAGTCACAACCCTATAGAGAGGATGGTGGTATGTCAAACTGGGCAGCAAATAGTATGAAAGGAAATAACATCTCCTTTTAGCTTCCCTTTTTTTTCCAAGTGGCACCTGAGTCATAAACATTGTACGCCTAGGTTTTGTTTCTGTTTAGAATAAATAAGCCTGCAAAAGACGTTTTGTTAATTTGTGGTTTAACACTGAAGGTATTTTTGAAGACCTATGGGACGGTGTACAACTACAGGGAAAAGTGCCCCCCCCCAATCTACTACTAACCTCTGTACATTAAAAGATCTGGAATAAAACTCAAGATGCAATGTAAATGTTAAAGAGGTTATCTTTCAAATAAAACATCAAAACAGAAATTTCTGCTGCCAAGACACACTGTGGTATCTGATGCTAAACAACCCTACATTTCTCAATAAAGCTTCCCGCCCCCATCAATTTAATAGCCAGACATACTTAATGAGTAGCTCACTAAGCAAATGATAGGTTGTTGTTGTTGTTTTTAAAAAATCTGTTTCACGACTTAGAGCCTGTCTGCACAACAGGTTTTCTTGTTCACATGAGTAATGCCAAGTGTCTCCTGGTATGTGCTTACACAGGCAGAGGTAATGTGCAAACTGATAATCACAGACACAGTCAGGGGCCATTCCCGTGATAACTGTAGCACTTTCCCTGATCACTGTGATGAGGGAATTGTTGCAATTACTATTCAGAATCACTCGCTATGCACATTACATTTGCTCATCTGGGCATTCTCCAAGGGATGTTGGGGCTACTCATATGGGTCAAGCTGTATTGTACAGTTAAACCTCCTTCCACTCAGTGGCTTCCTTCCCAGTGCCTACCTCCACCCCATATTGAAAAGGCAAACATAAAACAAACAAAAAGTTTCTCAGTGTTAGATTTCAATCCAAACAGGCAGCTAATCTCACAGTGATGAGAGAGAATCTAGTCAGGCTTTTAATAATTATAATATAAAAATAAAAAAGCTTACAAATAGCGACGCAGCATCCCCCAAGGTCATGGATTAACTGCTGGAAGGTGATATAATTATACACACACTAAAAATAAAAAATAAAACATAAAACAAACCGAACATTCCACACTGGCAATGAATTCCCGTACACAATAGAACAAGCAATCAAACATCTGTCTAGGCTGTGGGAAACAACACAAATTTCTTTTTCTTCAGGTTACACTTTTTTTTAATAAAAAAGATACAATAAAATAAAAACACACAAATAAAATTGTACATAAATGTGAATGTCCAACACTGAAAATGCAGGGAAGGTCACAGCACTGAGACAAAACCTGACTCAAATTAATGCTAAGTCCACTTCTTTGTCTGTATACTGGATTTCATCACATCAGCGCGTCTCCCTCAGCCATTTCTTGCAACATCTTAGCAGGAAGTGGAATCCATCTTTCCAACAGGTTCATTTCAGGTAATGAATAGAAAAGTCACTTGGTTAACCAGCATTGGCACTGATACTGCAGCTGGTTGAATATCCCTCTTGTGCTGTCCCCTAGTCTTTGTACATTTCCTTGTGCTCCAAGATTAAGTCCCAAGACCTGTGAAACAGGATTTGGAGTCCTTTCTTGGGGAAGGTGGTCATGCTGTTGTGATGGCATTAAGGTCCTTCATTAGTCCTTCCAGGTGGGCCATCTCTTTGGTCAGCTCATCTGGTTCATAATTCTGCAGGAGATTTAACAGGGTTACTCGGCAAGATGAGCTGCATTGTTTTGGGTGGGGGAAGAGTATGGTGCGGATATGGAATATGACAGCAAAGTCACATCTGTTAGATGGATTGCGTTACTACAGAAATGGAAATGTCCCCATCCTATTTTTTACGCAAGGAGAAAGATGTGGGGAGATGCAGCACCAGAATTCAACATGTAGACAAACCCCAGACAAACAGTGAATTAATGAGAGAAAATGTGATTCGGGAGGCAGGTAGGGACACAGGGAAAGAGGAAAAAGAAAAAGAAATCATCAACTGTTTGCACCCAAGGCACTATCTATGAAGAAGTACTCTAGGCATGTTCCAGCTGCCACCCAAATCTTGCTGAAAAATCTTGATGAGTTGGAGTTTCTCAGAGTGCATATTAAAGTGATGGACAACTTGCTAAACTCCAAGGGAATACACAAAAAGCTGAAATTGGAAGATATAGTATCCTTATTCTTCCAGAGACTTTAAAAGACTGGACCCACCTATGTAAAAATGTTGAGTCTGTCCTTGAGAAAATATTTATGCAAGAAAACAGAAATAATGAAAATGATCAATGAGCTTGCCTGTATGTTCCAAGTCTTTTACAATAAGAAACTTATCCTGGCTTTTCAAAATGAAAGATAGTTTCTTTAAGCTGAGCAATGGTGGGTTATCTCTTTGTTGTTGTTGTTTAGTCGTTTAGTCGTGTCCGACTCTTCGTGACCCCATGGACCAGAGCACGCCAGGCACCTCTGTCCTCCACTACCTCCCGCAGTTTGGTCAAACGGGTTATCTCTAACAAGAGCCAATTGTCTACACTAAGGGTAGACAAATATGGTTCTCTGCTGATGTTGTTGGACTCTGATTCCCATCAGCCCCAGCCAGTATGATCAATGGAGAGGGATGATGGGATCTGGAGTCTAATAAGGACATCATGTTGGCTAACCCTGGGCTACCCTGGGTTCCTAGACATTATGAGATTTATTTTTTTACTCCATCTATCCTTTAAATAAGGAAAAGCAAACACTCTGCCCTCCAGAAGTTGTTGGACTACATATCCCACCCCTGACCATTAGCTAGGCTAGGTGGGGCAGACGGGAACTGGACTACAACAACACTTGGAAGGTATCACATTAACTTTTCCTGTCTTAGATGAACTCAACTTTCCAAATCTGATATGGAATCTTTTGACTGAGACCCACTCATCACTAATAATCAAATTGCCTTAAAAAGAAGAAGAAAAGCCAATAGTGTACATCAGTCTACTGCAAAGCATAAAATTTTAGAAAGGGCTGGTGCTCAGTTGGATGGCTTCCAGCTGCACTATTTCAAGTTGTAAAGAAATTATATGAAGAACAGGAGAATGTTCATATGGAAATACAAAGCTACCTTATAAAAAGATAAAACCATTGGTCTATCTATTCAAGCTTTGCTCACTCTGACTGGCAGGGGCCTTCTAACTTTTCAGTCAGAGAGCTCTTTCCCAGCTCTGCTACTTCAGATCTTTTTAACTGAACCTGGGGCCTTACACATTCAAAGTCCATGCATTATCATGGAGCTACGGCCCTACCACAATCATCACTCTTGAAGAGGAAAGGGTTTTCAGAGCAGAAATGCAGAGTTACTGATGGGCAGAGGCCTGGTGAACAGTAGCAATGTGAGCAGCTTACACATGTATTATTAGGTAACACACTATCATCAGGTTAGTATTGTCTTTTACAAAGTTTAGTGATCATTACAGAAGGCCTCACTCAAATGGCAAAGCAAAGCAAAGCAAAGCAAAGTTGGTGGGAGCTCTTCCATGAAGGAGACTTCTGAAAACCTATTGTACCATAAGTGCCTTATACCATCTTTTAGTTCTCAAAAATATGTTTAATTTGAATTCTAATTTTACTCTCATTCACTACCAAGGTTTTGTATGTGATGGATGTTAGGCTACCTTCTAAGCAGGCTACTTACACTTTCTGAGTCTTCGAGCATCCTTGTTGTTTCCTGGACTTCTGGGGCACTTGGTACCACGACTGGCATAGGAGGTCGAGTTCTCCCTAGGGTGCCAATTGATGCAGTCTTCACTGAATGAACTGGATGGCTAGAAGCTTAACACAAATATGACCAGGATTAGCCTTCTGCAATCAGGGTTGGAGTGAGAGATGAGTAAGACTCTTGTGAAGATCCATACTTTATATTGCTGACGTGTCCCTAAATTGTCTCCCAGTCTTCTGATGAGATACCATTGACCTTCTCCATTATGCAATACTGCTACCCTGGATTTTAAAGGGCATTACTTGACAACAATTAGCTACTAAGCATGCTGTATCACGCCCATGTCAAGAGTAATTCAGAAAGGCCTCACTCAAAGCTAGTTAGAAAGTAAGGGGTAGTTTCACTTAGGCAAAAACTTCTTCTGGTAACTTATCTCCAACTGGGATGAATCCTTGGGAGAATGAGCAAAGAGCTAAAAACATTTGAACTGGAATATACATTTTTCCTAGGTGGGAGAAATGTTTTAGATTCTTGTGAAACAATGTGGAGTTGGATGATCCTGGGTGAGAACCTGCTGTCATGGATTTTGCAAACACAAACAGGTTGGAGGCAAGAGGGAAGTTGGTGTTGTATGCCTGGTTTGTAGGATTTCCCCCCCCCTTATAATATGGGGTTAATAAATGTTTTGACTGCTGGCTGATAGGCTGTGGTGGGACAGAGAAGTGATTAGTGCCTCAGGGTGAGAGCCTTTTGAGTGTGAGAGACAGGAGGGGAACGTGTAAACATAAAACATAGATCTGGCTTGAATGATAGCTGTTTTGTTTCTTGCCTCAGGTTAACTGGTGTTCCAAACATATATTCTGTCTGACTGATTGGTATTCTGTGTCCCCCCCCCAAATGTTTTATTGTTTTGATTCATTTCTTGTGTATTTATTTTGCATTTCGAAGTGTTGCTTTTTATTTGTTAGTGCTTTTTTACTGCTGTGAACCGCTTTGATCTCAGGTTTGTGGCTGGCAAAACAGCATACAAATCTTAAATCAAATCCAAATCAATTACTGAAGATATCAAGGAAGCAGCTTAGCTCTGCTGCCCATCACTTTTCAGCTTGTCAGCTCCCTTAAACTGTGCATTAAAGCCACGACTCGGCTTTCGACAGCAGCAATTCCTTTGCACTCACCTTGCTGGGATAATAAAGGTGTGCTTGGCAAGGCAGGGTCATAGTTTGCCCCAGTGGGTGGAACTGCTGGCACTGCAAAGCTCTTCAGAGGATGAGAAGGACGAACATGGGCAGTAGGGAGGCTTTGGCTCGTCTCCTCCTCCTGCGTACTGGGCAGATAAGATCCTGTGGCACTTTCTGGCTCCTGGTGGTCAGCACAACATGTCTGAGATGAGGAAGCTGGCATGGTATCTGTGCTAGGTGTATTCCGAACAGATTCTGGGTTTGAAAAGAATATGAACATTCTCTTTTACTTTAACAAAACACTCCTGGTAGCACTAAACCACCGTCTCTGAACATCCTTTCACCAGAGATCTTTGGTGGGAGTTAGGTCACCTCACCAGTTAGATATATTCTCTCAACAATTGAGACAATGAACAAGTCATCCAGAGGCACACCTAGCCATTAAGCTGGTACTTAGGTAACTCCACAGTCTGCTAGTAGGTTTTTCTGCTTTTTAAAGCGATCTTCTTTTGAAAAAGAGCAGCCATTTCCCCCCTGAATGGTCTCACTGCCATACAAATAACCAGTGAATTACCGTATTTTTCGCTCTATAACACGCAGTTTTTTCCTCCTGGAAAGTAAGGGGAAATGTCTGTGCGTGTTATGGAGCGAATGCCTACAGATGGCAGGGGAATCCGCTGCAGTTGTGAGCAGTCCGTGGCTCTCTTTGAAACTGCAAAGCGGGTGTAAGCGGCTCCTGTCAGCGAGCCGAGCCGGGCAGGAGGGAGAGAAGCAGAGCGGGGTTGGTTGCTTTAAAACAACCCCATGCTCTATGTCCCTCTCTCTTCTCCACTGAGCTGCTAAGTAGCAGCAAAGCTTTTCAGCCAGCCTAGCCGGGAGGAGGGAGAGAAGCAGATCGGGGCTGGTTGCTTTAAAACAACCCCGTGTCCCTGCCTGCAGTTTTTTGCTGTCCGATTTTGGATCAGCCACTGTAGGGGCTGTGTGTGTGTGTGTGTGTGTGTGTGCTTGAGCTATCGTTCTCCTCCTCCTCCTTCCTGTTCACTTTCACAGCGCCCCAGCGCTCTCCTGCGACTTTAGGAGTGATACTCTGTGTGTCTCTCTGTGTGTGAGGCATCGTTCTCCTTCTCTTGCTTCCCCTTCACTCTCCCAGCGCCCCTGCTACTTCCAGCGCCCCTGCGACTTTAGGATTGATACTCTGTGTGTGTGTGTGTGTGTGTGTGTCTGTGTGTGAGGCATCGTTCTCCTCTTGCTTCCCCTTCACTCTCCCAGCGCCCCTGCGCTCTCCTGCGACTTTAGGATTGATACTGTGTGTGTGAGAGAGAGAGAGGGGGGCGGGGATCGTTCTCCTTCTCTTGCTTCCCACTCCCAGCGCCCCTGCGCTCTCCTGCGACTTTAGGATTGATACTCTGTGTGTGTGTGTGTCTGTGTGTGTGTGAGGCATCGTTCTCCTCTTGCTTCCCCTTCACTCTCCCAGCGCCCCTGCGCTCTCCTGCGACTTTAGGATTGATACTGTGTGTGAGAGAGAGAGAGAGGGGGGGATCGTTCTCCTTCTCTTGCTTCCCACTCCCAGCGCCCCTGCGCTCTCCTGCGACTTTAGGATTGATACTCTGTGTGTGTGTGTGTGTCTGTGTGTGAGAGGGATTGTTCTCCTCCTCCTGCTTCCTGTTCACTCCCCCAGCGCCCCTGCGACTTTAGGGCGACTTTAGCATGGATCCACATGGATCCTCAGGATTTTTGCATTGGGCTACCCCAAACTCACCGTCAGATCACATGTCTGTGGCCACAGCATGAACCACAAAAATCATACATCCACTGTTTTGTTTAGAATATTTTTTTCTTGTTTTCCTCTGGTCTGGTGCGTGTTATAGAGCGAAAAATACGGTAAAACACAAACTGATTTACTTGGTTATCTAAAATTCCCTTAAATTTGCTTTGTACTCATCTGTCTTTGAGCTAGAGCACGATTTTCTTAACTGGATGCTTCATAAGTAGTTGCATCTTATCTACAGTGGTACCTCGCAAGACGAACGCCTCGCAAGACGGAAAACCCACTAGACGAAAGGGTTTTCCGTTTTGGAGGCGCTTCGCAAAACGAATTTCCCTATGGGCTTGCTTCGCAAGACGACAGCCCATAGGGAAATCTCCGGGACAGCGGGGAAGCGCAGCGCGTCTTCCCCGCTGTCCTCGGACCTCCTCCGAAGGCTGGCGGCGGGGCGGGGACAGCTCCTCCCGCCGCCGCCGGGCTTCGGAACGATGCCCCAATGCCGGGCGGCGGGCGGGAACGCCTCCCCCCGCCGCCCGCCATCGGGACCATGCCCCGATGCCGGGGGCGGGCGGGAACGCCTCCCCCCGCCGCCCGCCATCGGGACCATGCCCCGATGCCGGGCGGCGGACGGGAACGCCTCCCCCCGCCCCCGCCATCGGGACCATGCCCCGATGCCGGGCGGCGGGGACGGGGCGGGGCATGGTCACCGCCGCCGGCGTTTAAAAGCACTCTGGGGAAAGCAGCGAAGCGCGCTGCTTTCCCCGAGCATCGGGGAGTCCGGCGGGGGTCCTTGGGATTCCCTCCCAGCCCCCGCCTTTAAAAGCACTCCGGGGAAAGCAGCAAAGCGCGGCGCGCTTTGTTGCTTTCCCCGGAGTGCTTTTAAACGCGGGCGGCTGGGGGGGGGGAATCCCTTGGACCCTCGCCCGGACTTCAAAAGAGCTTCGGGAAGTCCGGCGGGGGTCCAAGGGATTCCCTCACCGCCGCCCACCTTTAGAAGCGCTCGGGGAAAGCAGCGCGCTTCGCTGCTTTCCCCAGAGTCCTTTTAAACGCAGGCGGCAGTGAGGGAATCCCTTGGACCCCCTCCGGACTTCCCGCAGCTCTTTTGAAGTCCGGTGGGGGAGAAGGGCTTTTCTTCCTACCGCCAGCCTTCAGAACAGCCTACTGAAGGCTGGCAGTGGGAAGAAAAGCCCTTGTCCCCCCCACCCAGCCTTCAGAAGAGGTCGGGGTACAGACTGTCCCCGGACCTGGTCTGAAGGCGGTTTCCCTAGGAACGCATTGATTGATTTTCAATGCATTCCTATGGGAAACCGTGCTTCGCAAGACGAAAAACTCACAAGAAGAAAAAACTCGTGGAACGAATTAATTTCGTCTTGCGAGGCACCACTGTACATTTGTTACAAGGTACTTCAATTCTGCCAATTTTCCTATTGCTTGTATATTTAATGAATATAATGGGTGCTCCAATGTAAGTTTTACTTTAGCCCACTATTGCAAAAGAAGAATAAAAAGCCATTAGTACTCTAATTAAACAAGGGGATTGCTCTTGCCACAAAGCTACTATGTTTTATCTGTTCACAGGCTTTATGAAGAGACAGTGAATCATGCAAATCTAAATTATCAACTAAAGAAACTAGATCAGCATCATGAAACCATGGAGCAAATAACTTATGTAAATTTAGAATATGCCAGTCACTAGAAAAATCTAATCTTGCTGAAGATCTGCAAATACCATATAAGAGTGGTAATCTTGGGAATCCTGCTTGCTTTTCCCCCCTTTTTTGCTATATTACAGCCTTGCACACACGCTCATCCATGCTTTACCCTTGCACACAAGGCTTTTATTGCAACAGCATTCATTTGACTTAAATGCTGTGTATAATAATTTTAGCAAGATAAAGGTCTCAGAAACAGGGTGGGTGTCTTATATGAGATTGCAATAATATGCTTGAAAACTTAGCCACTGGCAAAAGAAGCATTCTGGTAATAGTAATAGTAGAACCATATTTACAATTCAGAACAATAAGCAACCTACAGACAGGAGTCCCAGAATTTATTTTACTTTAAGAATTCTAACAGTCTGTCACTCTAACTGCATGCTCTCAGGTTATTTCCCAAAGCACCAATAACAGCAGCACTGCATACACATAATAAGGTGCCTCAAGCTTTTAGGAGCTGGCTGAACCCCTCGAGACGCAGCTATCAAAATTAAATATACATACTTCAGGAATGCAAACTAAGCCTACTTCTGTACTATCCTGCTGTTTAAACACAACTTACCAGTACCATAATAATGTTCAAACTGTGCTTGATTAAATGCCATCCACAGATTATACAGGGAGGGCAGGCAGGCCTTTGGAATATGTGAATTATAAAACAACTTTAAAAGGAGTAGTATTATTTTTCCTTTTGTAATCCAGATGCAAAGTTAGGATGAGATGATTCCAAATATGATAGGGGTATTGTTCATTCTTAAATTTATTCCTGGTCATAAGAGCAGCAGCCAATTTCCTTCTTACTTGCAATGTCTCTTAACCAATGCTGAACCAAGAACCCAGCCCCAGAGCTCAAAATGCTAACGCTGTTATACAATTAAACATTTAGTCATGACTGAAATGTAATGGTGTCGTCATTTTTAAACAAAGAAATCAAGCACACGCAGGTCCCACTATCCACACACTTGTTATGCAAAAATTCACTTATCTGAACACGAGGACCTGTGAGAATGATTTCCCTTAATGTTGCAATTTACAGTATTTCAAAAGAAAGCCCAATGTTCTCCTTCTGTGTATCTACACTGCCATGATGCTGCCCCCCATTACCCTCTCCAGATCTTCTTCCATCTCCCATTTACACTACTGATCTACTGCCTGTTCTTGGCAGCAGAGGCAGCCCTGTCCCATTTGCCCCTGGTTTTTGAACCAGTCCCCCCTCCCTTTGCCTGGATCTGGCCAGTGAGTCAGCCAACCAGCAGTGACACTGCATGAGCCTGCGACAATAGCAGAATGAAGGCATGAAAGGGCCAAGCTTAGTGACATGCCAGTCTCCTCTGCTGGTACAGCTGTGGCCTTCTTCATCCTCCTCCCTCCTCTTCTTTCCTCCTCTGGCACCGAGGAGGTGGGCCAAGGCTGAGAGCAAAGCTGAGATGGGGGTTGAGCCACTGCCCCTGAGCAAAGAAGCAGTGGAGAGCATGTCAGAGCCCAGCTCACAGAGTTAGCCAGGCCAATGAGGATGAAGAGGATGAAGAGGATGAAGAAGGGCTTGGCTTCCTCCTTGGCAGCCTTGCTGCTGCAGGAGCTGAGCAGATAGGTCTCATCACTGCAGCAGCCACTAGAGGAGTAGGAACCGGTGCTGCTGCTGGCTTTGGGCACCAGAGGAGGGAAGAGAAGGAGATGGAAGGGAACTGGTGGTTGCACCAACACAGAAGGCTCTGCCATGTTGCTCATCTTGGCCTCTCTTACAAGTTCTTGTAACAGTGTTTTTGACTCACTGGCCACATCCAGGCAAGGGGAGGAGGAAGGCAGACTGGTTCCAAAATAGCAGCAAAGGGACAGGGCTATCACTGCCAAAACAGGTCAGCAGCGCAGATCAGAGGTGGAGGAAGATCTGTGGGAGGGTTACGGGGCAGGGGTCATGCTGTAGATACACAGCAGGAAAATGTGATGCTCCTCCAGTCCTCTCATTTTATCAGACTGTTGGGAAAGCAATGAGATGTTCCACACAGAAAACACTGGAAACAGTTGGCTCGTTATGCGAACACTTGCCCAACCAACCATTTCTCAGGAACATGTTATGTTCAGAAAGTGAGACTTGCATGTGCATTTCAAACGGAAAAGGGGAAAAAAGATCACAAGACAGCTCAGTCCTATACATATGCACTTAGAAATAAGTCTTTTTTGAGCTAGCAGAACTTATTGCCTAGTAAATGGACTTAGGATTGCATCCTAAACAAATCTTTGGACATCTCTAGCATAATTATATAAACACCCATCCCTCCCCCTCACACAATCACAAAAATTGGATTTGAGTATGTCCCAGAAGTTCTTGTCTTTGCATCTTTTACTAATGGCTGCCCCAGGACATTCTTCTCACCTGTGGAATTAGCCCTGTCTGAATGGGACACGGATGTGCCAACTGGCCATGGGTTTGCCTGGTGATGGAGATAGCTGCAGGTTGGAGAAGCGAGGCTGCCGGAGTGGAAATGATGGTGGGGGTTATCAAGGGAATGGATGGGATGAGCACTAATCACAGCTGCGAATGAATATAAGACAGAAAAAATGCTTAACACACACCAACCAGCATGCATGCAGAAGTGCACCCCCACCCATTTCACAAAAAAGCACATTAAAAACCAGCACACTATCCTCAAGGTTCCAGAACAACAAAGTCCATTTTGCCATGACAGGCCATCTCTACACCCGTTTGAAGGAATTCCCCCATTTTTCCCAATATTTATTTATTGCAGTTGAATCACTTCATAGCCAGGGTTCTCTGGGTGATTATATTTTAGAAAATCATATCCATGTTTTCTGTTGCATTAAACATGTGGGATTTGAATATGAATTCAAGTTATATAAACTGTTACAGAACAGAATTGAACTTCCTGAGCAAGCAGGAATTCTGGTTGATTTGAGGATGGACTCTGTGCATCTGATCTTAATAAGAAACTGAGAATATTGCTAAACACTGAAGCTCACATTTTAGAATCTTGTATTGAGGTAGATTAATAGGAAGTCTGCAAGGGTAGTAAAAAGGATGAACAACTGAATGGAAAACATCCCAGGAAATAAAACTATAAGCAAACTGTCCTGGGGGAGGGGGGCGGATACAAAAAACAAGAGTGTAGAACAGAGTTAACAGTTAATGAAAAAGGCCTGGTGCCTATGTAATTATGAACCCTGCTTAAATTCTGGCCATGGTTTGCTGCTTTAATTCTTTTTAGCTTCCTAAACGTACAGTAAAACCATGGTCTCTGCTTTGTGAACTAAACCTGTCACCATGACAAGAGTATAGGGAGGCACCAGCAAGAGAGGTTTGTCATCTGGCAAACAAAGAAATGGACTTTTACCAAGGTCTGTTCAACACACATGCAATCGTTTGCAAAGCCATTTCAAATCATGGTTTCACAGCTTAGTTTGCAGCCAACCTTTAACCATGATTTAGGTACCATTCCTACTAATGCTCAACTCATTCCTTGAGTGCTGATCCTTATGCAGCCAAAACAGACATGCACAAGAGGGAAATATCAACAGGCTTGGAAAAAACCCAAGGTTTGCACAAAAATCATCTCAGCTACATGTGTATAGTGGAACTGGCTGGAAGTGGCAGGTGAAAAAGGTTACAGTTTGCTGTTTGCCTGAAGTGAGATAAATCACAAGCCTGGGTTTGAACATAACACTAAGCCAACCGTGGCTTAGCTCAAAACAGAATTGCAACAGCAGGCCTGGGGGGAAAAAAGCAAAGTGACCACAATCCTTTTCCCAGGAACACACACACTTGCTCCTTTGTTCTAATTATGGTTTGACCTAGCATTGTGTGCAAAATGCCTCTGCTTCCATCCCTCTCCTATTTCCTCCTCCAATAGAAATAGGGGAAACCCTCCCCACAAAAAGATGTTAAAAGGATAGAGGAGACAAAAAAAAGATATAAAAAGGACAGAGAAAACCATTTAATTGTCTAGAACTGTCACTCCTGGTACATACTGAGATGCTACTTACTTCCAGGAATGGAAGCAAGACGTATCTGTAGAGAGTTAATGGAGAAATCCAAGATTTAATGTAACTGGGAATTGGTGCTAGTTTGTCTGCCCCACCCACAAGGGAGGGATAACCTCAAAAGCTAGCAGCAAGGAAAATAATTCCTACTCGAAATCTATTCTTGTTCAGTGTGAAACTTAAAGAAAAACTTACCATTGCAAATTACAAAGCATTGTAACACATTGCATTGTCCCCATACTGTAGTAGATTGAGGGGACTGTGAGTTTATGACAATCCTGTAATGTAATTCACACTGAATATTCTGGGTGGTTTACAGCAACCCCACAATGTTGTTCGCAGGTATTAGACCCCTACTGCATGTTGTGTTTAAGCTGAGAGATGACAACAACTCTGCAGTGTTACCCAGTGTTTTTATCTGAACTTTGCAGATTGGACTGGGTGGGTAGCATACAACAAACCCACAGTGTGGATCACTGTTACACCCAAAGAGAAGGTTGAGGGACTGTGCTGAAAAACACTTTATGGCATCCCTGCAATGTCTATTAATAGTGCTAGTCAGAAGTTGGGCTGAAGATGATTTGGATTCACAGAAAAAAAAAATGCCTATTACATCTCAGGTAGCCCAGGCCAAACCGAGCACGCATTTGCATGTTGAAGACTTAAGTACCACTGACTTGCATTCAGAATGAAAGACACTTCAAATTTGTTCCAAATCTATATATTAAAAAATTGCCAGACTCAGGTAATGCATGGACACCAGGAATACACTGCAATGTTTTTCTGAGGGGCTCTGCTTAATGCTTAACTATGGCAAAGTGTTATGTTTTCATATTATCTAAGCAGAAGAGTTACACAGTACAAAAACAGTAAACAGGAATGCAAATAAAAACCAAATCCAACAGCAACAGAACACCATGGTAAAGGAAAACTAAAAACAGGAAAACTTAATTTTACACTGGATGCTCTACATACAAATGTTTCTACATAGTGGTGGTGAACAACACATTAACTTTTTCACAGTTGCCAAGACTTCTGAAATAGATTTTTAGGTCAAAGTGACTAATTGTGGGCACATTATTTCACAGTAGTTCATTTGTTCCAAATGTTGTTGTTTCCTAAAGGGCTGTTGATCTCTCCAACCTTCCCTTTTTTCTTTTTTTCTTTTTTTGTATTCCGACAACACTACCCTGAGGGACCGGACCACCATCTTTCCCCTTTGCTTTCTTCTTCCTGTCTTGTGATCTTTATTGTCTATATGCCTCTGCTCACCTTACCCAGCACATGGCTTATCTATACTTACCTTTTGCCCCACTCGTTCCAGGCAATGGTCTGTGCTGTAAAGCTTGATGTCGTAGCGCCCCCCCCTTCTTTTTTGCTCCAAGGCTTTCCCCATGAAAACCCACTTTTTAAAGCTGAATGAGAACCAACGGCTATTCGGATTTGTTGTGGATTCAGTTTGCTCTGATTCAGCTTTAAAGAGCAGGTTTTTGCAGAGAAAGCCTCGCCACGGCAGTGGCAGCAGAAGTGGCAGCAGCCTGCGAGGCCTCGTCATGCTGGAGGCAGTAGTGGTGGCCTGCAAGACCTTGCGGCAGTGGCAAAAGCAGCGACAGCCTGCAGGTCTTGTCATGGCAGTGGCAGTGGCAGTAGCAGCAGCCTGCAAGGCCTTGTGGTGGTGGCAGCAGCAGAGGTGGCTACCACAGCTTTTGCCACCGCCTCCCACTACCGCCAGGAGGCCACTGCCACTTCTTGCCACCACAGCGAGGCCTCACAAGCCCCACTGCTTGTGTCACCACAATGCCTTGCAGGCTGCCACTACTATTGCCGTCACCTCCTGTTGCCACCACAAGGCTTCGCAGGATGTGGCTACTTCCGTCACCTCCTGTCACTGCTACGAGTCCCCGCGGGCCTCTGCTGCAAGGACTCTCAGGACACCACCGCTTCTGATGCCAAAGCCTATTGCCACTGCAAGTCCTTGCAGGCCAATGCTGTTACAGCAGCCAGTTCCTGCTGCCACTGCAAGGCCTTGCAGTCCAATGCCGCTGCCGTCATTCCCTGTCATTGCCATGAGGCCTTGCAGGCCACCACCGCTACTGTCACTTCCTCCCATTGCTGCCACAAGTCCTTGCAGGCCACCGCTACTGCTGTCACTCTCTGTCACTGCTGCGAGGACTTGCAGGGCGCTACTGTTTGTGCCGCCACAGCGAGGGCTTGCACTCTGCCACCACTACTACCGCCATGTCCTATTGCCACCACGAGGCCTCGCACGCCACTGCTACTGCCATCACTCCACAGTGAGGCATTGCAGACTACCACTGTTACTGCCGTGCGGCCTTGCAAGCCGCTGCCATTACTGCTGCCACTTTTTTTCGCCACTGCAAGGCCTCGCAGGCCACCACCACTACTGTCACTACCTCCCATCGCTGCCATGAGTCCTCACAGGCCACTCCTGCTACTGCCGTCACTATCACCGCTGCAAGGCCTCGCAGGCTGCCACCGCTTGCTCCCGCCACTGCTGTGTGGCCTCGCAAGTTTCCACTGATTGTTCCGCCACCACAAACACATACTGTGATCATGGCAAGCGGCTTCTGCTTCTGACGCTGCTGCTTCTGCCTCCTAGAAGGTCTGCTTGCAGCCTGGCAGTCCCAGATTATTTGTATTCACTATGACTCATCACCGTACTTTGATTGTTCTGAAGGCCACCATTTGGTAGCCAAGCCCCAAACCTAAAGTCCTGTTGGGATGCATTTGGCTTGCCTGCTGATGAAACTGAGTGTGTGATGATTGATAATATTGTCATTTATCCGTTTTAGACCCCTAAGTAGTAGCAGTTGCCAAGACATTGTCCTGTTCTGCTCTGTATAGTTCCATCCTTATTTCAGACATTGTGGTAGATTGCAATGTTTAGCTGGTGATATTGTGAGGTTTAGCTGCTGATAACATTGAAATGTTTAGCTGGTAAGTTATTGTGATGTCGAAAACCAGATATCGCCTAGTCCTTATACACATTGTGATTCGCAATATATTGCCAGCTCAAATATTATGAAATAATTATCACGACGTGAACTTCAAACCGGTTTTGGACGATATATCGCCCAGCCCTAATAAGTGGTGGACATTTGACAACATTAGTTGGCCAACATAAAGCAAATCTGACCTTAAAGACAGTGCAGAACTAGAAGGACTACAAATACCTTAAATATAGTGGGGAAATGCTATCACTTTCTGCTTAGTTTGTGCTTTTCTTAAAGCACTTCAAAGTATTATGAAAAATACAACAAGCCAGCCAGAAGTACCTGTCTTTCTGAAATAAATTTTAAATAGATTGTGGGCTTAACATTAAATTTACAAAAATTAAAAAGCGGAAAATATAAAACGTGTACTATTTTGCCAAAAGGCTATTTAGCACTCCTATCAGGTTGGCATCCAAATACTACTTTGGCATGGAAATACTGCAAGATTCAGTTCTGCCAGTTTTCTATTTATAATCTTGATATTCTTTCCATATTTGTTATAATAATGCTAATGTTCTTCTTCCAAACTTTCCTAGCATTTATTTCAAGTAGAAACAAGATTTTGTGCACATTCATCACCCTACTCCCAGCAATACGGGATGGAATGTGAAATGTTTGACTCAAGGAAGCTTGGTGAGAAATAACTAAAGTTAGACTTACGCTGAGGTGGTTGAGAATCAAACGGCATCATCATTTTTGGTCTCATTCCCCTTCTTCCTGCAAGTGTGGACATGCTATCCTCTGACTCATGCCCTAGAAAAAGAATGAATGCATCTATAAACATTTATGTCCATCATCTTTATATCAAATCATTAAGCAGGAAGACGAAAACAAGTGTTTCATACACACGCATTCTGATTACCAAGAGACTCTATTCTTAAGACCACTTTATAGTCTTCCTTTCTAGAAACTTCATTCAAAGAGAATAGGGGCAGGGTTTGGTGCTGTAAAACCAAAATAAATTCTCACAATAGATTTTTAAGTGATGCAAATAATGCTATTAGCAGAAATGCTATGCTGTATATTATGGGTTCCATTTTCTCACTGATTTACATGCAAATTGTAATAAATATAAACCGAAGTGTAGCTACTACAACTTAGTCAATTGGCAAGTACTTAAACAATTACGAATCTTGGCAAAACCCACCCTTTGCAATCTACAGGCCACAGTTGTCTAAGGATAATAAATAAATAGGATAATGAATAAACTTAGCATGATACTAAGCCCACCTCTGTATGAGTTCCGTCTTTGGTGGATGTTGCTGTCCATGGAGTTGTCAACTGGCGTAATGTCTTGGGAATTCCGAGGGATTGGGGTGTCTGTCATGATTGGATTAGGATCTGGAGATTTATCAATGGGTTTCAGCTCCAGCCTTTCATGGTGAATCCAAAGGTCAGGGGGTTTGACATCCTTAGAATTTCCTTTGTATTTATGTGACCCATTCACAGATTTGCATGCAGCTCGCTTCCTTTGAAAGCCGTAAGAAAAATATTAGTGTATTCACAGGCTGGCATAAAACTACTATGTTTTTTCTTTAATTAGTTAACTGACACATGCTTCAGCTTTCTGTGCAAGCAATTTTATTCTAGACACATCATGTATGTTATATTCTGATTCTATACTTGTATCCAAAAGGTGGAGGGTGGGGGCATGTATGATCCTTTCTTCTCCTACACCCAGCCAACAACAATGGGAGGTTTCCTCATTTATTTTACCAGACTACTAAAATCATGTCTATTTAATATTCATGTTATTAAACCCAAGCAAATCAATGACCGCTAATTAAATCTATGCCCCTAAAAGATAGAACAAGTTGTTGCCAAAGCATCTTACTTTTTCTGGTGAGAGGTGGTGCGGCGTGTGCAGAAGACCGCAACAATTACCACCACAACAATGGTGATCACTCCCACAGACACTATTATTACCAAAAGCATATTGTATTCCAAAGGAGAAGGGCTTCCATGAGGGCTGTTACTGCCTAAAGAGGAAAACAAACATTACTTAATTATACATGGCAATGTCTTGGGAGTTTTGAATCTAAGGCAAGGATGAGTAACCCTCTCATACATGGTTGTAAAGATGCTTTAACTTTTCTTTGAACATCTTATGATTTCCTTTCAACACCTTAGTCAGCAGAATTCTACTTACCACTCATAGGTGTTTTATAGTCTGGCCCAACATCCACTGGCCGATTTCCTTTTCCTGCAGACCCCAATGCTAGAAAACAAAATTGAAGCTGTGTCAAGCTACTTGTAGTTTATGCCTTATCTGTCTTTTTAAAACATAATATGGACAAGAACATATCCTAGACAGAAACACACATAGAAACAGTCCAGGAAGATTGCAGGACTTTTCTAGAAGTGTCTATACAACTATCTCAAGAACAGCTAGAACAACATTCATGCAAAAGGTATACACACAAAACTATAGAATAATCTGGTGCCTTCTGTGAAGAAAGAAACAAGCCACAGTATTCTAGTAATGTCAGAACCCCCTAGTACTTAACTGTTACATATGACCTGAATGGCTGAAGTTCATAGAACTTTCCTATCAATAGTTACCCCATAGAAGGCTATTAGAGATGAAAGGGGGGTGTTCTTGGGTGATGCTTACTGGGGGGCGGGGAAACTTCAGGAAATACCTGATTGTAATTCAGTAGTAAGGGTATTGCATTTTGTTCTTCACAGGGTTTTGAAAAGAGGTAGATGCAGTGAGACTCATTACTTCTCTTCAAGAAGAACAAAGCAAGGCAATATCTAGCCTCTCCCCATGGATCACGGCATTTTTTTCAGAGAGCTGGGAAGAGGGAACATGATCTCATCTACTTCGCCAAACATGAAGCAAGAGACTTTCCCCACTCTAGATTGTGGAGAATTCAGTGGGAGGATGCCTCTGTTGCGACAGAAGCTTTCATGGATCTCGTATGGAAAACACTTACAGTGGTACCTCGGGTTACATACGCTTCAGGTTACAGACTCCCTAACCCAGAAATAGTGCTTCAGGTTAAGAACTTTGCTTCAGGATGACAACAGAAATCGTGCTCCGGCGGCACGGCAGCAGCAGGAGGTGCCATTAGCTATAGTGGTGCTTCAGGTTAAGAACAGTTTCAGGTTAAGTATGGACCTCTGGAACGAATTAAGTACTTAACCTGAGGTACTACTGTATTGCATCTTATGAGGTGGGCTCGGCACGGTAAAATATATGCCACAAAATAATAAACTAAACTAAACTAAACTAAACTAGAGGTCATGTCCCTGTTTTGAAGCATGCTAGCACAGCTATCACTCTGAAATTCAAACTAGTGGAAAATTGCATTTGCCTACTTGTAGTTGTGTGTGCATGCGCTTCAAACACAGTTTGAAGATTACACTGAACTCTAACAGGATTAAGCCAAAGACCCATTTCATACGGTCAATGTGATGCCTCCAGGAAGCACACAAAGTAGGGTCCTACGGCAAAGGCACTCTTCTGCTCCCCAGGAACTGGTTTTCAGAGGCACACTGTTACCCCCTGTACTGGAAGCAATTGTGACTAGAAGCCATTGCCAGCTTTATCTTCCATGAACTTGTCTAATCCCTTTTAAAGGCTATTCAAGCTGACAGCCACCGCTACATTTTGTGGGAATGAAATATCTGAATATTTTCTTTTGTTACTCCCAAATCCTCCAGCATTCAGTTTCACTGGATGCCAAATTCTAGTACTATGAGAGTACTTTTCCTATGCACTTTCTTCATGACCTGGGCTCCCTTGGAAAGAAGGGATGGAAATTAATCAATCAATTAATCAACCAAATACTTCTATCATGTCCCTCCTTACTTGGTTTTGTTCGAAGCTAAAAAGGTAAAGGTAAAAGGTCCCTGGATGGTTAAGTCCAGTCAAAGGCAACTATGGGGTGCAGCGCTCATCTCGCTTCAGGCTGAGGGAGACAGCATTTGTCTGCAGACAGCTTTCTGGATCATGTGGCTAGCATGACTAAACCGCTTCTGGTGCAACGGAACACCATGATGGAAGCCAGAGCGCACAGAAACACAGTTTACCTTCCTGTCGCAGTGGTACCTATCTGTCTACTTACACTGGTGTGCTTTCAAACTGATAGGTTGGCAGAAGCTGGGAAAGAGCAACGGGAATTCACCCGTTGCACGGATTTCAACCGCCAAGTGGTTTAGACCACAGTGCCATCCGCGTCATACCCCATATCTAACCTTTATTCATAAGTGAGTGGCTCTAGTCCCGATTACTTCAGTTGCCCTTTTCTGAACCGTTTCCAGCTCTATATTTTCCTATCAGACTGTACATATTATTCCAAGTGTTCAACCCAGAGATTTGTAGAAAAGCATTCTGAAACTAGCATCTTTATTCTTGATTTCTTACCTAATGATCCCCAAAATAGGAAATCAACCTTTTCACAGCTACCACACATGGGGTCAGCTTTTTCAGAGCTGAATATCCCTTCCCTAGCCAGTCAAAGAGAGCTCAGACCCCATTAGCATATAAGGGGAGCTGGAATTCTCTTGTCCCAAAGTGCACTCCTGCTCCTCTGTAGTTTTACACTTATACAGATTTTGATAGTGTTACACACAGTTTATATAAGCTTGCATCTTAAAATTATATTCATAATTTTTAAAGTTTCTATAAATTGCTGTTAAAATAGTACTGTCTTAACTTCTTTAAAAGGGAAGAAACACACTAGATAAATACAGAGTTAACAGATAAAAGTTAAAAGAAGACGAGAAAGAGATCTTGCCTGTCTGTAAGCCAAATAAACACATAGATGGAATGTTTCAAAGAGTACTTTTTGACATTCCTTTACATTCACAAAGAAACTTAAAATATACACATTCTGGCATTGCTAAAGGTAACTTACGACTACATTTACCTTTGAGCAAGCCTCACTGAACTCATTTGGACTTATTCTAATAAGACATGTGTAAGATCAAGCTGTTAGAAATAAATTTAATGTAGTTCCAATTTGATGTTAAAGGTAACGTTTTAGAAAGGAACCATAGCTTTTCTGTTAACGGCTTCCAATGGTCAGACTTGCTTGCTGCCAATAATTGTTTACCCAGCAGTGAGCGGTCGGGGACAGACAGCTTTCTTGAGTGCTTCTGAATATGGAGATTCCACCAACTGTGCTAAAGGCACAAGTCATGTCATGTAGCCTTTACTTTTGTTCCCATAATCCTATACACAGAATAGGATTCACTTGCTGGTGTTTTGCAATGCCCAATGATTTTTAGCAAATAAATCTGATTGACTGACTGTCTGAATTTCTGGTGCATTTCCAGAGATCCATGGCAGTAAAGCCTCCACCACTGCAGGTTCTACCTTTTGGCAATGACTCAATAAATATGACATGTACCAGCATAGCCAATAAGAGCACATTAGCCATTAGGGTCACCTTATGGCTGGCACAAATGCTTATGCTACATAGCATGTGGGAATAAACGTGCATGAGCACAAAAGACACATTATGAAGTCACTGAAATGTTCCATGATCCATATACAGACATAAATTAATGAACACTTTAAAAGTATGTACAAAAGAAGGCAAAAAATAAGTACCGTATTTACTCAAATCTAATGCTCACCTTTTCTGGTCTAATTACGTTGAGAAAATTAAGGTGTGCATTAGATGGCACATTTACATTCACCAGCAAAAAAATTTTTTTGTTTTGTTTCAAGGTTCTGAAAACTGAGGTGTGCATTAGACTAGAGTAAATATGGTAGTCAATTTTCAGGAATGGAGAATTCAAAGAATGGAGAAGCCACACAATTCTGCCTATTTTTCTTTCCACTCTCATACGAAGTTAACTTTCACTCAACTAAATTGATACGGAGCCAGGTGAAAAATTCCATCACACCACTACTATTCTCACTTCCACTGCTGTTGAGACCATAATTCTATGGGCCTGTGTTGACCTCCTATAAGATGGATTCTGTTCATGGGCCATCAGCTGCCAGTCCCTACCATGCTAAATGTGGTTGCCTCTCTGGTCTGTGGGCTGAATGAAGCCTCCCAGGCCTTTCATGAAGTTAAATCCCTCATCAGCTTGGTTCTATGACGTCCTCAAGTGCATTTGCTTGGCTGAAACATGTCCTTGAACCGTGATACTACCTTTTGCATGCCTGGGTGGAACACAATGAGATGTGGGGAAGATGTGGAAATCTCTGGCTCTGTGTGGCTGGAATATTGTCTATTAATGGTAGGAACCACACTCATTGTTCTGCTCCTTCCCACCACTGGTATGTGGCACCCGGTAGGTTGCTCATGAGGGAATGCAACCCAAAGCTTAAAAAAGATTACTCAACTGTGTTTTAGGAAAAAGACAGTAAGGCCGACTATTTTTCCCTCTCAGGGTGTGTGATGTAGTAGCAGATGTTCTTCCTTCTATGAGTCACAAAAACACTTCTATGATATCTACTACCACTCCAGTAACCAAATAGTATGTGAGCACATGGCTCCCTCATTTTTCACACCACCTATGCAACCTATAGGTTAAACTGCAAAATGCAGTTTTTAGCAAGAGGAAGACCATCTTGTGACACACATTGCCTTAAAGTGCCTCTTTGGCCACTACCTAATCAAGACAGGCTCAGATATAAACCTCTTTGTAATTAACCCCCTATGCCTGTGTGGTTCTCAAACGCCTCTCTAATTTGCACACAGATAAGCAAGCAGCTTAGTAAAATGCAGACACCTCTGTCAGTAGTGTGTTATGCATGAGTATAATACTGCAGACAATCTAACATATGTGGGGTGCATAGAGCCATAACAAAAAGTGTAAGCTGCAATACGTATTTCCTCAATGAGGAGAACTAATGAAACAACAGAACTGAAGGTTGATGCATTTACTTGTTGGTTCCATGTTTTAATACTTGGGGATGATTTGTTCAGGGTTCACCATTACGTTCATTCAACTGATTTTTCTTTATAAATATAAGAAACAAATATGCACAAAAGTCATATTGAAAAGTGGGAAAGGGAAGGGGCCACATGACCTCACAGAAAGATAGCTAACCAATGTCCAGCCCACATCAGCTATCAACAATGAAAACAGGCTTTCCCCAAAATGAATTCTTAAGATGTGTGTGTGTGTGTGTGTGTGTGTGTGTGTTTTCATACTGGGCTCACCACTCAAATTATGTACATGGGGCGCAGCTGCTTTGAGCATGCATTTGAATACATGGTACCAATCATGGATGCATCCATCTTGCACTACCTAACAAAAGAGATTACATTCCAAACACACTATGCAAAAAAGTATTTACAGCATTTCAAACTTTAAATTCTACAAGAGCTTGTTTTTTTGCATTTAACAGTTGAAATGCTGTTAGAAGAAAGACAATAGCACTTGCATGAAAGGAAATGACACAAAAAATATGCCCATTGGTTTACCTTGATCATTAGACATTTTATCTGAAGATTCAGCTACCAGGACAAGCACAGGGAAGAAGCAAACAAGAGAAAGATAACTAAATCTAAAGGAGTGACAAAAATTTCACTGGCACAGAAGTAGCAATCTCTATAAATGGGAAATTAAATAATTGCTACTACTACAGCTTACTTTATAGAAGACCCTCCCCACACCATGCCTATTCAGCTCTTGTTCATAAACTGCAATGAGAAATGCTCATATCCCAGATGAAAATCAGGGAATGTTTTACTTATGCATATTTAGGAGTACTGGAAATGTTCAGATGAGCAGTTTGATAGCATGCCTCCCCAAGTAGGAGACCCTTACGATCATCCAGACATTTGCAATGAACTCATTTGCACCATACAGTATACATTCAAACAACTCTTCTATAGGTGGGAACATACAGTAAACTGTGTACTCAAAAATACTGTCCCATTCACAAGACACAACTAATGACAAAAACTGGAACATTTACATTTTCAGGCTGGCAGGTACTGATTCACTGAACCAGACAGGCCCCACCCATGAAAAATGCATTTAAACACTTGTCTGCATTTCCCGTTTTCTGCTCCCAGAGAACATATTCAGTTAACAAAATCAACCTACCTTTAGGTGTTCTGAACTGCACCGCCTCTGACATAGGACCCATGCCTTTGGAGTTACGGGCCTGAATTTTGAAATAATATGCTGTGTCGAGTGTTAACTCTTGAATCTGGTGGGTCAATCTATTTCCCACTACTGGCTCAATGACCCAATCGTGTATTTCAGCGTTGACATCTGTACTATAGTAAATGATGTATCCTGCACAATAAACAAAATACAGATGATGAATTACGAAGACACGTTTCCAACGGCTCTAAGATATTTTAGAACGTTAGATATAATGAACAGATACTTGAAACAACTAGACAAACCCATACTTCTTAAGTGTCCTTGTAATTCTTTCTCAATGAAGACACAGAAGCAATTGATTAGTTTATTACACCCCATTCATACAATTCTTCCCCTGCAGCATCATGAGTACCACCACTGTATTCTTCCCCAATATTCCAGGTTCTAAATCAGTGGGGACTCTTCAAGGAGAAAAGGCTCCCTGCCACAGACATTCAGTCTCTGACACGAGGGGGCCTACAGGTACGCCAACAGCCGTGTAAGAAAGTGAGATGTCTGCAGACTCGTTTCTTTTTTGCTTCTTGTGCAATGGTAATCACATATACGTGGTTAAGAATGACTGAGCAGGGCATACAGCTACCATAGAAGGGAAATCACTAATTGAGAAAGCAATTAGTAATTGCTAAGGAACTGCTACGCAGCTAACATACTACACTTCATAAACCTTTGGGGACAATCCAAATTGACTGTAAAGGAATATGGATTGTTCTACTGGTTTGGTATCAGACTTCCAGGTTTTCCACAGAAGGCCAGTTCATACAGATACTGATAATTTTTGTGAGTTGTGAAAGTTCCAAACAGCTCCACTAGATGGTATGCTTGAAATTGAAATCCCTCACTCACTATTCACATAAGAAAATGACTTGCATAGCTAAAGAAAAATTGCAGAAAACAATCCACACTCAGAAAATATATTTTTGAGTTAATTGGGTTGTTGTTTATGCATAGTGTAACAAGTCACATGTAGATCATTTGCCCCTGAGAATGCACTTTGAAACATGCTGGGTTATTATTCACAAAATTAATTACTATTGCCAAATCATTGCTTAAGGCCTCTCTCTCTCGCGCGCTCTCTCTCTCTCTCTCTCTCTCTCTCTCTCTCTTCCTTCACTATTCTGTTTTGTGCTGCCCACTACTCTCTCCTGCCATGTTTGTAACAGGAAGCAGCTTAGATGGTTTGAATAAAGGAAGTATTTTGTTAAAAATAAAGAATCATTTAGCAGCAAGGAAAGCTATTTTAATGTTAAAGCCCAGTCGGTTTAGTGAGACACATCAAGCTACATAACTCTTTCCCAGGAAAAATCATATACACAAATATGTTCCATAATCATGACATACAAAAAGGAAGGACTCTCTGGGCCACCCCACATCCTGAAGGTGGGACTGAAAAAGAACAGGAAATCTCACTAAAGTTCTTAAGTTTTGAAGAGAATCCCATATGAAACTACTTATTGGGGACACAGGACAATGATACAAGTGGGGATTTCTTAGCTTGGGGATGATTTGATGACTGGACCATTTTTTAAATAACAGCAGCATTCCTGCTTAAAATTAGAACAAATTGAATAAGCAGAAAATTGTGCATTCAGCTCCTTTTGCGATGGGTTTCAGCTTTATAACGCAAATCTTAAAACGTATTCCACCAGAGGGCAGACCTTTCACATAATTATGCTGAATATAAATTCAGTATTACCCTATTTCCAAGCCTGATTAGTTCAAGTGAAGACAGACACTGTAGGGTATGCCAGGGCTGGCAATATTCTGTAGGTCTGAACTAATAGTAGAGCCATATGCAAAAGACTGTGTATTGGGGTAGGACAGAAGGAAAGAAGTGAAATCCCCCACCCATTTCCTTCAAGCCCTGCCTCAGCCTCAGAGGCTTGAGGGACTCAGATGCACCACTTTCCTCAAGCTGCTGTGAAGTATGTCAGTAGCACATGGAAGTATAGTGACACTGGCCCTGGATTCACGAAGAAGATAGTTGAACTGGCTCAGAACCAACCTGACCTGACCTCTCGTCTTTCTCTTCTGCTGCTGCATGCAGTGTCATGGAGGTGATCAGAAGCGAAGGAAGAATCTGCTAGCCCACCCTAACTACTCTGCTTAAGCTAATCATTTCATGCATGTGCTTCTAGCCTGAATTTGATTCCAATACTTTAATATACCATTTTATACACTTCTCATTAATATTTGGCACCTTGATATTATTTACATACTAAAAAAAATAAAGAGGAAATGGACCTAATTGTTGAAATTCAGTGATTTCATCTAGGAACATTAAAACAGTATGCAGTTAATTAAAAACACACACCACAATTTTCTTCAAACTGAAAGAACATAGATAACTAAGCATTCTAATCATTGTTTCCAACCCTTTAAAAGGATTTCTTTCTTTTTTTAGTAACTTTTATTTTGCTTTAAGCAAATGCAGATAAATATAAACAACCAAAATTACAAAAGAAAAATCCTTAATAATAATAATGGAAAAGGCTAAAAAAACTACAAAGTACATGGCATAGAACATAAGCCATTATGGGAAAGAAAAAGGAAAGAAGAAGGCGAAGGAAGGGGGGGAAGGGGGGGAAGGGCGGGAAATGAACCAAAACACAAGAAGGTTCATCTATTGTACGCTTCCGTCAAGGTCACAACAGTTCATTATTCTTATCAATTCTCTCTATCTGCATTCCATAGAATCCCTTATCTTGATTTCATCCTATATACATAACCTGAATGGCAGCACAAATATACTAAACTGTCCCAAATAAAATTTCACCTGTAATTTTGCCATTGGCTTCAGATGGTGGCTGCCAGTTGACTATGATGGTTCGGGGTTTTCCTTCTTTGCTCACTACTGTCACATCCTTTGGGGGAGAAGTTGGAACTGCAATAATGATATTTAAATTAAACCCAGATTGTGGTATCAGTTTTATTCTTTTAAGCATTCTTTGTCAAAGATTGCTACATTCAACCATAAAATAAGCTACTAACTTGCAGTGATAATTTTTTTTCTACTGAAGAAGCAACATCAATACTAAGGATTTCAAAATACTCTTTCTGTTTGGAGTATCTTGGAAGAGCAGCATATGCCTTCAGAGGATTTCTGTGAGATCCCTCCTCACCATCAACCCTTCCTGCCATGCCCTCCAACAGCAAACCTCTAGGTACGAAGCTTAAATGTGAACTCCTCTCTCCAACTGGAATTCATAATAATGTCAATGAATCATCTGGAAGAGTGATGTTTATAGAGGATCAATACCCTCTAGAGGGAATATATTAAAATTCAAGTTCTCACTCCTTAATGATTTGTTAAATATGCATTTGATAAAACTCAAACACTATTGTAATTTTAAGGGACTTAATCAAATATTTCAAAAAGTATGAAAAATATTGAGTTTTACTTTTCTCAGGTATAATTAAAGTTGTGTGATTTAGTTTTCTTGACTCGAATCTCATTTCAAATGGGATTTGCACAAAAGACAGATACCCAAAAGTGGATGTTGAGCAATTTCAAAGCACTTCTTCTGGCATCGAACCAAGAATTTAAAAAATGGTGTAACACAATTAAGTTATTCTGTATCCATTATTAATAAAAATTTGACCGAGCATAAAGCAAAGTGCTTCTGATTTTAAATTATCTTCAGTGGTTTAGTTCAGTTTTAAAGGAGTGTTCTGCTACTCTGTGCTTCATTTTGAATTGTTTATACTTTTACAGGAATGGACTGAAGTTTTATGTGAGCTGTCCTATGAAGGTGGTATAGAAATTCTTACATTTTAAAAAAGAAACAAAACTCCACAGGGTTGTTCTCTTCTCTGAAGCTAGAGTTTTTTTGCATGCCTTAAAACATTTTCTATTTTTCGAGGCAATCATCTGTTTTTACTTCTAACCACAATAAAAGAGAAATATCATAAAGAAAATAAACAGACAAGATGCTGAAGAGATGGGTTTGAATGTGTGCAGACACATATCATGCCATTTGACTATTGAAACTGCCAGAACTTCAAATATCTCTATTTTAGCAAATAACATTAAAATGAAAGAAGCTTGGCACTTATGGATGCTTCAAGGATCAGATCAGAGCTTTTCTGATCTCTTACTTGCTCAATAATTAAATTATTTCCCCTATTCTCATTAATTATTAACCTTCATGTTATTTATTAGCAGCTACTATTAAGACATAATTTGTATGTATGAAATGTTTTGTGGTTCTGTACATGAAAGACCTATTTCATTGTATATAAATTCTCTCTTTAGTTCAAAGAACTTTAAGAATCTTCCCACACCAGAAAGAATTCAACAATACACAAAAATTAGCATAGCATGAAAAAAGTATGTCAACTAATTTAGAAATGGCTCAACAATATCACCTAATTCAAAAGTAGTTCCATGTGCAGTCATACTCCAAGTACTTGATCTTCGGCCTTTAGTCACCATCACCGAGAACTCATACAAAGTGTTTGGTTTTAAGCCAGTTACTAAGAAGCTTAAAGTGGTGGTATTTGCAGTCTAAGAGAAATCAAAGGGTCACAAAATGAGACACTCTCTATTAAATATCCTGACTATGACAACAGTCTCTAGCATTATCTCATCCATATATCTCTATTCTCACAATATTAATTGCATTAATACAAATAGTTTCTAAGGCAGTTTTGAATTTCCATTTTTGTCCATTATTTAGGCATCAACTTTCCATTTATCTTGATAGCTCAAAGAAACATATGTTCAGAAATTTTTGTTAGTTTTAAATTTGGTTTGGCAAGTACCTTTGGACTGCACCTTTTGGTTACCTTGTATTTTGTGTTTGCAGGAATGTTCGTCTTCCAGCGTACTGTGTAGTAACGGGCATCCGAGACCTTCTGGTTCTTTGGCAGAGAGTTGTCTGCCCAGGTGATTCGAATGGTGTCATGGCTCAGTATGGAAGCCTGAACTCCCACAGGTGGCATCATGGGGGAGGGATCTGGCACTGGAGTGTACGGAGCATTAACAACAAATAAATCAACCTCAGAAGTGTCTAGGGAATTGATGGGTAAAAGTAGGGTATTACAATAAAAAAAGAAAGAAGGTGGCATTATATGTGAATAGAAACAAAAGGGGGAAATGCAGGGTAATACGATGAAATGAAAGGTGAGAAATGGAGAAAAAGAGAGAAAAGCCAGAGTTAATAGGCAACACAAGACCAGCATAAAAGTTTTCAGTGATTATTTTGATTCCTCCCTAAAACACATGCCATAAGCAGAGTAGGCAAAGTTCAACACCTAAGAAGATTGCTACAAAAGTAAAAGATCACTGAATCGAAATTTTAATATCCATTTGACACTGTTTGCTAATTAAGATACTCAGTGTTAGCTGCATTAAAGCACTATTTCATCCCATCTCTAAAAAGAGGGTGGAAGAACAAGGTAGAATTAGGATCAAATGGGGACAAGCTAATCTTCCAGAAAGTATTAGTGGGGAAGGGGGAACTGCTTGTGTTCAAGTTCACAGTAATTCACAAAACAGCAATATAAAAACACTTAAGATCTCAGAAACATGTTCAGCAACAAGAAAGGGAGTTCTTACCTTGGATTTTGTTTGTGAATCCAGATGAGGACATTCCTCTGATAGGAATGACACCTCCCTGGTGGTGACAGGCAGGATCCTAGACAAACCTCTGCCTCCTCTCCAGGGGGAGGTACCATCTCCCTCCCCAGATCAACTGCCAGGGCAGATATGACCCCCACAGCTTAAACAAGCCCACTCAAACATGCAATCAACAAAGAAAACATTGGGAATCTGGGAATCTGTTCTCCAGAGGGAAAGGCAGGAGGCATGGGTGAGCATCTGATGTCACTCATCCCTCTCTGCTCCCGCTGGTGAATAACTGATCCCCCGACCCATTGCCTTGGATCTAGACCCTGCAGAGATAGAAATGTCAAGAGTCCAAAAGTTCACTCCCAGCAGACTCCTGCAGGGGTACAACTGCTGAGGGGGAGGGGGGAGAAGTCATTAAAGAAATAAAAAAGGTCAGGGCCCCTTACACCACGAGAAAACGTGCCCACCAAAATGCCTCTGCTGAGAGTAAGAGAAGGGGAGCAATGAGCCCAACAGCCCCAATACTGTGGGAGACCCTCTACAAAAACTGAGGAAAAAACACCAAATATGAATAGATCACAAGGGGCAGAAAAAAAATTAAATGACAAAAAAACAGAAGGGAAAAACCCCCACTCCTGAGCGCTCTTGTCTAAACAGTTTATCAATGGGACCCAATTAACAACTGCTGTACCTCTTCAAAATGCATGTGGTTGAGGCCACCAAAATTATGCAGAGAATAAGTGATCTAGCTGGAATGCCCAAAAGAAAAGGTGGGACCAAACCAGACAATCCATCAGGGGATGGTCAGCTGGAAAGCCCAGACAGACAAGAGTAGGAAGCTGCAAAACACAGCCCCTTCCAAGCGTTCACAGAGAAAGAGCAGTCACAGATTGCTCTGAAAATGATATTCCCACCTAACTAGTTTATTGGTGGGGTAAGCAAAAAACTCCATTCTACCCCACCAGAGCCAGAAACTGCTTTACAGAAATTTGGCCAACTGGCCACAGTACAAGAAAAAAACACTCCATGAGAACTTATCAGGCCCAAACCTTTACCAACCACAGACAGTGCCAATCTGATGAGGGAGATTACTTCTCCCCGCTGGAGTGGAGGCAGAAGGCCTTGTAGGACCCTGACTGTCACCACCAGGGGTAAGTGTCATCCCTATCAGAGGAATGTCCTCCATTTGGATCCAGAAAAATGCCCAAAGTTTTCTTTTGATGAATTCTGCCAAGCGACATGCTAGAAACTGACATTAGTCACAGGTGGAAAGTATCACAGGGGTTATTAGATTATTCTGCTTAAAAGCTAAAGTCAGCATATTCATAAGCAGTTTAACTCTAGGTACTTATTATTCTGAATACCTATTTAATATAACAAGTATTTTAGAGAGAGTTAGAATAAGTGCACACAATACATGATGGTACAGCAGTGTCCCATTGGCGTTTTCTGCAGTAATGTGGACAACATACCCATCACATTTCAAATGTTCAAGAGGCACAAGCATACATGTGTATGGATGTATTTGTGATTGGAAGATTGCAAAGTGAGAAATTCTGCATTAAAACATTGCATGAAAACAATGTAAACAAATGCATATAATTTGTGCATTGGTCAACATTAAAGTTTGACAGGAGCTCTTATAATGTAAATCCAAGGACTTGGACCAAACGTAAAATGGTTTGTGATTTAATATATTATTTACATAAAAATAATAAACCACAAACTGTAATACATTAAAGCAGCATCAATATCAAGATCCAAGGCTGCTCATTTTGAGTTACAACAAAATAGGCAAGCATTATCTTTTACCTGTGTAAGCTCTAGTCACTGCACTCTCATACAGCGGAATTCCTTCTCCAACATTGTTATAGGCTTTTAAAGTTATTACATAATGGGAGCTGGGATCTAAAGAAAAAGAAAAAAGAATATTATTTGATACTACAAATTCTTAGTTATTTCTTCAATTGATGGTAAAATAGTTTCAGCCATACTTGGCAACTGAAAAAAATGAATCACGAGAGTATAAAATGAAAGTATTTTATTTCTTTCAGATTGTATGTGAACTGCTGTTCTAGAAAAATATACATCCACAGTTGTTTTTAAAATCAGAGTGAACCCTTTACACATAAAAGAGACCCAGATAAACTTAGCTATATTAATTCTGGCCTCATAACTAATCAATGGTAAAAACATGCACTATAATATATTTGTTTTTTTATTGTTTTTGGACACCCTTAGTGTGGACGGAGGCAGCAAAATCAGGTGATAGAAAGTCAGTACTCTCAACACATACAGGTCAGCATTGCCTTTAAACTTTTACTCAGAAAAATATCAAAGAAAAATGTAGTCATCAGTATTACTGTATTTCCCTTACCCAAATTCTCAATAGTGTAATATCGTTGCTTATAATCCACCTTGATGGTCTGTGCATGGGGGCTACCCACACCATACCCTATAGCATAACCTCTGACCACAATGTTCTGGTTTTCAGGTGGAGTCCAGCTCACAACAATACTAGTTACAAGTGGACGGACATGTAGGGAACTTGGAACTTCTGGAACACGAGATTCTATAATAAAGAAAGAACATTATTTAACTATTTTAAACATTAAATGTGAAGCTTTTTATTAGCTTGTTAAGCAGTAATATTGAGTTCCTAGGCTTCTTCAACAATTTGAATATTTAAGGATTCAACAGAGCAAGAAAAAATAGCACAAAACCCCTGTTGTGGCCACTAGATAGTGCTAGCTGTTTATTGTATTGGTATTGGTATTGTATTGGTATTGTATTGTATTGTATTGTATTGTATTGTACTGTACCCACTGTGTATTGTACAATATTTTCCAGGTCAAAACTGATTTTGAGGGGAATTGAAAAGGCCTTCAGAAACCCTCCATGGTCTTTTACATATTTCACATCTGTTAGCAAACCCAGTCAGAGATCCTGTAGTGAATGTGAAATGTCATTTAGGAAAACAAAGCCATCAGTGCAGTGTGGAACACAGCCCTACTTGCTAAGGTGCTACAACAGCCTGTCTTGTAATTCTGCACTGGCAACTTCATTGCTCACCAGTGCAAAACTTTCCCAACAGTCTTCCTCCAGTTGTTGAACTGAAAATAATGCATTGTGGGTGGATAAGAATATGCACAATGGGGTGAGCTCCTGTTGCTCTGTTCCAGCTTCTGCCAACCTAGTAGTTCAAAAGCATACCAGTGCGAGTAGATAAATAGGTACCTCTGCAGTGGGAAGGAAAATGGATAACAGACATATACAAATATAGATGTGTGTCCATTCTGTATTACTTTCAATGGGATGTGTAATTCCATCCACTTTCTGCACTGGCTGCCTATAGGCTATTGAGCCAAATTCAAGGTAAAACTGTTGGTATATGAAGCCCTGAACAGCTTGAAACCAGCTTACTCAAGGGATTGCCATGCACCATTTATACCTGCTCAATTGTTATGTTCAGCTGGATAGATAAGGTGCCACTTGATATTTGCCTTGATACTATGAGTGTTTAGTATGCCTGAAATGAGGCTGTGGAACATATGCATGTTAATATTATGCAGGCACAATCAGTACTTTGCTTCAAATGCCAAATCAAGACTCTTCTCTTTACACAGGGTTTTTCTGATGTATAGCTCAACAATTGGCTATTGTGTATAGTTTGTCCAGATGTTGACTAAGTATTCCTATGCCGTTTTCTGGATGTGCTATGTGCACTGCCTAGATACTTTGTTTAGTATGTGGTATATAAGCCTATAAATAAATAAGTAAATATACAAAAAAATAAATCTGCTGCAATCAAATTAAAATGCATGTCAGCCTAGTTTTCTCAGCAACAGCAATATGTTCCCTTCTCTCTTCCTGCTCCACCCCACCCCCAATGCTCTATGAAATACTTTTCATTTCTGGCAAAAGGTGGTGGTGGTGGGGAAATCTCCACATTTCTCCCTGGGCATGCACTGTTAAAACACATTTTTAATAGTAACATTAATGGTGCATCTTTATATCCATACCATCAAGATCACTTTCAAATGTTTCTGCTGACACCCAATCAGTAGGTAGTCCTGTACCATTGACTGTTAAAGCAGCTACCCGGAAGCTGTACTCTGTTCCTCGTTCCAGACCTGATACCAAAAAAAAAATCAAAAAAAAAATCAGCATTGTGAAAATATAACTCCCACAGTGAATATGATGCCATTACTTCCAATTAAAATATCAACAATTCATCCAACCTGATAGTTAAATAGCTTATTAAAATGAAACTAAGTAAGTGCCTAAATGAATATTCTATATAGTTGTTTTTTCGATGATATAATTTAGGTCAACTGTGACACAGATCTAGGAAGCTAAGTGTTTTACAATTTGGCCTTTCACCTCTTAAGACTACTCAAGCATAACCTGAGGCTATGCATGGAAATCAACAATACTTGCAGTAGGACTCCAACTGATTCAATCGACACAGATTATCTGTCAGTTTGTGACAGGATTGACACATTACATTGACCTTCCCTGCCAGGCAACAGCAAAAGAGCATGTGGGCTACTTGTTTATGGCAAATTGGAAGACTTTGTTTTCAGAGGGTTTACTCATATTTTATCTGCAGAATAGAAACTCATTGTATGCCCTCTTCAAAGAGAACTTAATCCAAGTAAAAAATAAAGATTTGATACCCAACCCATTCACATCATCATCAACCGCCTTAAATAAACCAGATTCCCATCATTTTAAATAATGCTACTCCTCCATGTATGTGAGCACTTATATTATTATATCCCACCTTTTCTTCATCATGCAATTCAAGGTGCCATATATGTGGCTCCTGGGTGGTCACCATCCAGGCACTGACCAGACTCAAACCTGCTTAGCTTCAGGAATGTGATGGCTGAATGTGCCTTCATGCTATACCCTGGGACTAAGTTGGTTAGACACAGAGGTCAGCTCAGCTTCACTGAACTGGTTAAAACAAGTCTTGTTAGAAGGGGCTTTCTAAATTACTTAATGGAACATTTTACACTTCTGAAAAATGGGAGTTAATTTATGTGTCTTTTAAAAACACATTTGCCTATTTATTTCTTTGAAGTATTTGTATCTGGCCTCTCCATAACCAAGAGTTTAAGGTGGTTCACAACAATTCAACCAATAAAATCCAAATGAACAAAAAAAAAATACTAAAAATTGAGTAATGGCGAATACAGTTAATTACTAATTAAATGCTCAGGAAAATAAACTTAATTTGGCATCTAAAATAGTAAAGTTGGTGCCAAATGGATAGTTATAGGAGTATTATTACTATTATTAATTAAATGTCTATACTACCTTTCAGCAATGGATCATTGGGCGATTTACAATATAAAAAATCAAAAATACATAACATAGTAACCAACAAAAACAAGTATTCCATAACCAGGACCACATCCAACTCATCAGTGGTCAGACACCAATCCAGAACTTGCATAGTCTCACCAAACTCCAATGACAAGGAGAAATAGAGCTGGGCATCATCAGCATATGGATAGCACAGGTTAGAAGGACATTCCTAGCTCAGTTAGGTCTCATTTCTGGGTCTGGGAAGACAGGGCTGAAGAGAAGAAGTGGGAACTACCCACTAATACCCAAGATGAATAAGGAACGAGTTTAAAAGGCAAAATGAACCAACTACAGTAAACACACAAACTACCGCAAGGCAACCAAGAACAAAAAGACAAGGGTAATCAGCGGTGCCTGCAAAGCCCACTTTTACTTGCTCCTCACCTAATACCACATATGACATCAGGTATAGGAGAGACTTGATAAAAACAGCATAGTGGGTCATATGGCGGGGACAGGTGGGCTTAATCACACATGTGGGCTGGAGGTTCCCCATTTTTGCTTTATTCCCAAGATTATTTTTGGCCTTCCATAAAATGCAGTCAACTCTTGGTGCTTTGGAAGCACTGCACAAGGTGCTTTGCAAGCCATCTGCTCAGCGCTTCCCAACAGCCAACCACAGGGCAAGGCTAATTCTGCAGTTTTGTTGGTTTGTTTACGAAAGAGCCCCACCTGAGATTTGGAAGTGACTATATGAGTCTCTGTTCACACCTTTTATGAGGCAGTACAAAATTAAGACCTGATCCTTGATTTGAGGCAACCTTTTGCCGTACATCCTCTTTAACAGTTAAAGGGAGTCTCTCTGATGGCACACTTCCAGTACCTATTAAGTGATTGGTGCGTAAAGCAGGTGTTCAAAGAAGGATGGTCTAGCCAAAGATCCAAACATGATTGGTGAGCATAGCGGCTTCTTCCTTCTTTAGAATATCAGCTGACTGACAGGTGTGTGGTAAAGCTGGTCCAGGGAGGTGGGAGAGAATTTGGATATATTCAATGCCCCACCCCACAAATAAAGGATGCCGCAGGATGGGGAATCATCTAACACCCTACAAGTAAGGCACGTTCAGTGCTCACATCATTTATCCCAGTTGGTATCCATCCTGCATCACTGGTGGTTGTTTTTTTCAAAATGGTGGTGGTTTTAGTTACCAAAATCGGTTAATGTTATAGTATGCTTATAATATTATAACTATGTCCCTTTCAACAGTTATGTTATTGTTGTTTACATGTTTATGATTCTTCTGAGATTTTAAAAGTAACAACAACAGTAGCAGCAACGACAACGACAACATACAATACCACTGATAAAGAGTATACTCTTTATCAGTGGTATTGTACTGCGGCTGTACATCTCAGAAAAGATCTCCTTGCCCATACTATGAAAAGCACATGCTAAATAGCCTTGCTTAGAATAAAGAACCTGTAATTAGCTGATTCTACTTTTAGATGAAGAATGCATGCCTACTCACCTTCAATTAGCTGTGAAAGTTGTGTCCCAACAATATCAGTCACATCGCTTTTGCGAGTCACTTTTCGGTAACGGATCTTATAGCCAGTAATTTGCCCATTGTGTGTTCCTGCAGGAGGGGGCTGCCAATGCATCATAATGCTCTGTGGGAAGTTAAAAGGCAGTATAAATCATGTTCTTTGCATTAAACTATGCTAATTCTCATGCTTCATCAATCTCCATTAGACTGGTTCAGGAAACAATTTATATGTAATCTGCAATATTGTGCGCAAACTTACATAACACCTTAGGCATTAAAATGATGTATCTCGAAGCAGCTCTGCAGTTCAGACTGCAGAGAACAGTATTTGATTTTTATACCCTCACATCTTAGGAATTAAGTAGCAGACCATGAACAATTTGCAGGCACTAGTATATGTCAAATCTGAATTTTATTTCTCTTCCATACCAAATAATCTCCAAAAGATACTCTGAAATATTGGAAATACTTGTATTCACTGTTTCTGAAGCAAAGAATTGCTTAACCAGCTGCACACTGAATAGAATAGAAGACACTAGACAATACCTGTTCCAGTGTTAAGCATGCAAACTGAAATTTTGCCCAAAACATTCAAAAAATGTAGAGGACCAAAGGAGCCAGCTGATACATAGAAACAAAAAAATTGTTACTGCTCATAGGCTCAGCATTTGGGCTAAGAAAAACAGGCAACTCAGGATGATAAAGATCTATGGTCTGGTTCACACACAACACTAAGTAAAACTATGAAAATTACATCTGCTTCACTCTTCCCATGGTCCTGCTGCTGCTGTACTAGTAAGAACTAAGCCATGGTTTGGCTTAGAATTTTCTGTAAACCCAGGCACAGTTTGTGTCATTCCAAACAAACTAGAAACTGTAGCCAAGGTTTGTTCTAAGCCAAAAAGAATAATAATGTGCGCACACCATCATGCTTGCTTGTTCATCCAAACCATAATTTGTAAATTGAGCTAATACATGGGAAATTGTCATGTGGAGAGTTCAAGTGCTAGAGGATCTGGGCTAGTTCTATTCTTCAAGTATATCTACACAAACAAACTGAGAGTATCTTACCTTGGAGTTTTGCACTTCCAGAGTTAGATTTTGGGGTGCAGCACTGGGAACTAGAAACATTAAAGTAAGTTATTCAAGAGTGAGTGTCAAAATAAATTATATAAATGAATTAAGTTATGTATAATTTATGATATTCTATATTGCCTCTCCATATTTCTTAGTAACAGACTACATATTTTACAGCATGAACCAGTCCTTGCACTGCACAGTATATAACCATCAGAGAGTAAACACTCAATAATGGACTGAGAACCAGTAGTTTGCTTACAGGGAACCAGAAAGGTCTGGGCCTCACCAATTTGTGGATAGGAACTATTTGCAGATTCTATATAAATTCTGTGAGCAACTAGACAGGAAGGATATATATTTCATAAAGAGAACAATTTCTTTACAGTCTACAAAAATGGCTATTGATACAATATACATACTCTGAAATACAGCAACATTAGTTTCTGATAGCCAGAGAATATTCCTCAATAAAAATTGAAAAGCATATTTCATTCTTAGACTTGACAGAGTCAACTTTTACCTTATCCACACACACAAAAAGGTTTACTTGACCTCAGAAAAGCACACCATGAGATATGGTTCTAGGCCAGTCAGAGCAGTTACTCATGTAGAGAGGCAATACAGTCTCTTCGGAGGACAGGGCATTATTTTGCATTGCCGCACTGGGTATGGTTGAATAATCCAGCTGCACCCTATTCAGAATTACTGTGTATCAGTGGAGACTGACTGGAAGGCAGCTAGGCCAGGGCAGGGAATCATGCAGCAGTCTGTGTAGGTAAGGTCACTCATAGAAGTATTTGATTCTTTAATTTACTTTTTGCAGAACGCTAAGTGGCCCAGCACCTTAAGAACTTTAGCAATATTTATTTCAACTGCAGTCTAAAGATGTGTAGAGCAAACTGGAGAACTGTATAAGATATAGTCTCATCATGTTACTAGTATTACAATGATCCTATGAAAACATTCTGTGAATGCGAAATCACTTTGTTGCACACACAGAAACCCAGACAATATGCTGTAATTCTACAAACAGACATGCCACATAGAAATCAGCCCAAATAGTGAATTTAAGAATTTCTATCATACTTATAACCAAATTGCAACAGCACATCATGATGTAATAAAATCAGCTGCTTTAAATGTGTACTGGCTTAAAACATTTATCCTCAATGGGTAAGTAAAGAATTGTAAGAAAGTAAAGAATAATAAAAAATTAAAAGAAAGAAATGAGTAATAAAATGCTGAATGTGACAGATAGCTGTGTTGGTCCATAAGAAAATATCCAATAACAGGCCAACCATAATACCACAAAATGGTGTGCAAGATTTTGAATTCGCCCTAAGTCTTCTTCAAAGCAAGGATGAAGAGAAGAGAAAACTTGGCTGGTGGTAACATCTGGTAAGTCTGCAACTGGCAGATTGTGGGAGAAAGCAGTCAAACAAGCAAGACTCATTCAGATTGCACTAAGATAGATGTAACCTAACAATGGCTGGTGGGAGCAGTTGGCTCTGTAATTTCAGAGCTGGAGAATCTGCCATTGTTGTGTTTCTTTTTCCTGTATAGTACCATAATGCAGAAACTAAACTTGGCAATTAAAAATCCATTTAAATTAGGAAATTGTCCGCAATTTGTTTGAAATCAGAAGATACTCACCATCTGACAGAGTTCGAACAACAACATCTTGTGTGGAAACTCCTGGACCATGTTTATTGTAGGCCACCACTCGGAAACTATATTCTGTGTATTTTTTCAAACCACTGATTGTATAGGAAAGACCTCCAACATCAATGTCCTATATTTGAAAAGATGTAAACCGGTATGCATCTTTTAAACACCCAGGGATTAAAAGACTACTGCTATGAATGCTTTGTTCATTTCTGTTCATCATAATCTCTAGATCATTGTTAGATAATCAAGAACAAGCCACACTGAACCTCAGATTCACATTTCCTTCTACCATCTGTGCATGAGCAGAGTGAAAGCTTTCACGTATATAAATTAGGGGAGCTGTGGTTTATTCTAACTCGAGTTAGATAACAAAGCTGGCTATCAAACTATGCTTTGATAGCCTGCATTGTAAATTAACAAGGATTAAAAATAAACAGTAGTTCCCAGAGTTCATATGTAATATAAAACTGAAGTTTACTTAAAATTGAAAGTGAAAGCCAGAAGTGAGGAGGGTGGTAAAAGCTCAGTACTTGCTGCAGCACATTCTCTATAACCGTGGTTTAGATGGCTGTCTGAAAAAGGCTACCATGATAACTTTCTCTTTCATTATTTATTTAAAAATATCTAAACAGTTCACACACACACACACACCCAATTAAAACACAGTGCAGAGTCCTGTCCAAAGAAATCTCCATGGCTCTCAAAAATGTTATACAGCCGTACCTTGGTTCTCAAACAGAATGCGTTCCGGGAGTCCGTTTGACTCCCAGAACTGTTTGAAAACCAAGGCATGGCTTCCGATTTGGCTTCCGAAAAGAATTTGAAAACTGGAACACTCACTTCCGGGTTTCGATCGTTCAAGAGCTGATTTGTTCGGGAGCCAAGGCATTTGAGATCCAAAATATGACTGAAATGTTTGCCACACCTTTGAAAACGTTCTCTGTCACTGTTCACCCAGCGGCTGTTGCCTCAGTGACATAACAAATATGATGGCTTAGCAATGTTATGAAGTCAGTCAGGCTTGGCTATATGCTTTCTTCACCAAAGGCAAACAAATCTATTTTGAGTTAGGGCAAATCTATTTTGAATTAGATTAGCCATGTGCATGATTCTAGCCGATCAGGAAAGTGAGAGCAGAAGTTCCTGAATATGTGAACACTCTGGTCCCGACATTCATTGGGCAGGGGGCTGTTTTCAAAGTTAAATGTGTTTTGACAAAATCAAACCCCCATGGCTCAACACTAGTTGAAATAAATGACCTGCAGGCTATCTAGTTAAATAAAAATGGCAATAAAAGTCTTAAGGGGTAAGGCATTTAAGTAAATCAATGGATGCTTTTTATAAAAGAAAACTAGTACATGTTTATGAGAATCTCATTTGTTTATCTCAGGGGTGGCTAAATAATAACTGATCATATGTGACTATTGTTCATGCTAGCTGGGGGTGATGGAATTAGAGTCCAGAAACATTTGGATTCTACCCTCAGTTTACCTGCAGTAGCTTTAATACTTCAAAGAGTGAAACTTCAAAAAGCGAAACTAGAATTTGCCTAGCAATTGCAACATGTCCATTTGCTGCAAAATATTAAAAGGTCTTCTCTCCTCCTGTTTGTCTGTTAATAAAATCCAACAAAATAACATCCAAATTCTGAAATAAGAACTATAATGAAAACAGTAATCTTACTACGGGTAAAAAAGCCTAAAGTTCTGCTAATACTATGCTATGCATCATACCTGCTCATTGTCTGCTCCCTTCTCCATGTAGTACAGCTTGTAGTTTTGGATTTCACCATTGCCAGATAAAGGTGTTGCCCAACTAACAGTGATTGATGTGGGTGAGTTTGCAAATGCTCGAATATTAGGGGCCGGGCCAGGAAGCTGAACTGAAACATAAACAAGATGTACTATAAGCATTACTAAAAAAAAAAAATCATTACACTTTATATTGCATATCTGAAGCAAAGAGCTCTGAAATTCTAAACAGAATTTAAGTGAAACAGTGTGAATGGACATGTTTTGGAACCAATTTGGCTCTCCATGAATCTAGGGAATGAGCCATAGAAAATCTCAGGCTCACATGCTTGCTTCCACTTCTGTAATATAGCCACTTGGAGATAAGAAATCTTTACTTCCATTTTTGATTATCCACAGCTTGTTGTTTCATCTAAATCCACAAAAACTGCAACCAATTTTTTTTGAAACAATTGAAACTTCAACCAATGGGTTATGAACACAGCTTATTTCAACAAACTATAGTTAAAATTAACTAATTTAGGGTACGGATGCAACATTAACCTGTGGTTAATAAAAAAATGGAAGTGAAGGCATTCAAACTGCCCAATATGCCAATTTCATGGCTGAACATCAATAATAAGATATGGGAAAAGTGAACCTTTAATGAGCTCTGAAACAAACAAAAAACAAAAAAATGTGAATCAACCTACACAACCTAAAATGGATGTTGAAAATAGAAGACAAAGGATGGCCAGACTTTAGCAATTAAAAATGTTTTTAGAGAGGCAATTTTTATGCTAAATTGGTTTTTTAAAAGGCCATGCTTAAGTTGATTGTGGTATCTCATATAATAATTCAAACTTGGGAGTTTTTAAAGCAGATTTGACTTCTATGCTCCATAACTTCCTTTTTCTTCCTGACATAAGTGTACTTTGTGCTTCATCTCAAGTATAATGAGACTGCACAAGAAGCTTAACATTGCCATAAAACTATTTGCATCCAAAGATAAATTTAAATGGAATTTTATCCGTAAGGGATTATCCGATACAAGATTAGATTGCACACATGCTTAGAACATGATCCAGCCAAAACTAAACTTCCTTTGTTACTATGCAGGCAGAAGTCTTATCTTTTAAATACTACTAATTTCAACATAAGAATTAGTCTGCAATCCTAAACACACTTGCTAGGTAGTAAGAACTATTGCACAAAGTGGAAATTATTTAGAGTGAATATGCATAGGATTGTCCTATTAATAATATGCTGAATTTTTTTTGGCAATGTAGGCTTAGAAGTAGGGTAACTTTCACTGGATCATCTCTAAATCATTAAATAGACAACTGACTTTAACATAACATGAGCATGTCTTAAAGGAACCAGGCTTAAGTGATACAAGTGTGATTATACAGAATTATATAGCAAGTTAATCAGAGCACAGCTACCACTGCATTGTGTGAAAAGGATAAAAACATTTTATCACCATCTGCCACAGCAACAGCAACAAACAGGGTGGAAATGTTTAAAGCTTACCCTCAGGTTGCGTTGCCACCTTAAGTGGCAATGAACTTTCTCCAGGCCCGTGTTTGTTTTGAGCTACCACTCTGAAAACATACACAGACTCAGGCATCAAGTTCTGAATTGTCACTTGCATTTCCCCAGGATGGCTTGTGTTTTCAACACGCTCCCTTAAAAAAAAGGGGGGGCACATGGGAAAAGACCTGAGGTTAGAAAATATTTGGTACACATAAGCAGTAAAATGATAGCACCACGGGGAAGGTATTAGTTCAGAATAATGTTCACAGGACAGAGTAATGACAAAGCAATGATGGGGGAGATGGGATTTGCTTATCTGTAAGTGTTATTCTTTGAGTAGACCTCTGCACAGTTGCAGATGTCTCTCCCAGCCCTACCTGGAGAGGCCAGGGAATGAACCTGAGATGATCTGCATACAAAGCATGTGCTCTCTCTCTAAACTATAGCCCTTCTACAGCTTCCAACATAATTAAAGCACTCCTTCCCAGCTAGTAGTTTTGATGTCCCACAAAATCAAAGCTCCCAAAATAAGTGCTATACCAAGGACAGCCAGCATTCATGTTTGATTCTTCTAGAAATACATGATTCCTCACTTTGAGGGTATTCTCAAAGAATAGCATTCACAATTCAGAAACAAAGCCAATTCAATGGCCCTAAGATCCAAACAACTCATCTGCAAAGTCAGTTCTTGAAGTTTCAATAATACTTTTTCAATGTGTGTTCTTAAGAGTGTTTAAATGCACTAGACAGACACAAATTGTTTTTTCCTCATCAGATACTCTCACAAGAAGCAAGGCAAGAGGCAAACAGGATGAAGCCACAAGTGTCTATCTGACAACATCTCATCCTTATTTCTTCACTCTGAAAATTCAAGTTGAGCCCATGTATCTCCAAGCAACAACATAAAATGTGTCTTTCTTTTTTAAAAAAAGTCACAGCATTTTATTTTAGTTGGAAAGTTCTGAACTTCTTACCAGGCCTTTGGAGTGGTACAGGTAAGAAATCTAAAGCTTAAAAACACTCAAGTAAAGAAATTACTATATTGTAAATTTGTATATAAAAAAGTAAATTATACCTGTTTACGGTTTCCCTGGTGTAGAACACAGAGTAGGTGAGATTGTCTCCATGAGGATCGGATGCAGGTGTTCTCCAGGTCAGCTTGATGAAGCGGGTAGAGACAAGGGAAGCCACAACATCTCGAGGGGCAGAAGGCAACGGTCCACTTGTAGCTGGTGCTAGATGGTCAGTAGTGGCACTGGTCAGTGAAGTGGGAGGTAATGTTGGGATGGCAACATCTTGTCATGTGCAAACATTGGGGAATATGAAGGGCATACATCACGACGATTTAAAGAGAAAACAGAAAAAACCAAAAAAGAAATAAACAAAACCACGATGGGAAACAAAACAAAATGAACACACAAAAAAGGCCATTAAACTGAAGGTTGGCATGCAGGCAAAAAAGGTAACTACTGAAAACTAATGGGAAATATCAAAGGAGACATCACTATAGAGCAGGCAGTCAAATCTCCATTATAATGGAAGTGGGAAGGGAAGGGTGAAAATTGAGGATAAAGTAGCACCTCAGAATGAAAACATCAGTTTGACATTTAAGCTTTTTTTGCACTGAAATATTTATTAGAAAAACATTAAATTTGCAATCAAATAAGCATAATTCAAGAAGAATGTCAATTTTTCTTTGAATAACTGAAAAAACAAGTTTATACCAGTCATAAGAATAAAATAGACATTGATTAGCTTGGTGTACTGATTCTTTTGTGCATATTTTAAGTTGCTCAGTTGTGAATTCATCTATTAAAGGAGTGTGAGAATCCTAAGGTAGTTTGAAACCATTTCCAGCCAGTATGTGAAGAATATGAACAGGAGATCCACTAACCCCTACCCCCAAAGAGTTTCAATCTTTCACTCCAGTAACATGTTCTCTTCATGAATCATTATTCCTCATGATTAAACAGCACCTAGCTATCGTGCTGCATGCCATCATTATTAGAGCAAGCCTGGCATGCTTAATTTCACAAATTATTTGAAGTGCCACTGCATTAAAATAAGAATAACAATGAACAATTAACTTCTTGTTTTAATTTTATTGTAAGCTCCTTGAGCATTAATAGAAAAAGGATGGAAGTATTTTAAGATGAAAGTGAATTAATTGAAAATATGAAGGGTGCGTATGTGTGTGTACAAACACATCTTATATGTACACAACCAACCAACCAATCAATGAAAATATTCAGAAATGAGAGCAAGCATTTATTTTTAAACAGCTTGTACAATCAATTCTAAGGAAGACCTAGAAATAAGGCTTCCCTGTTTCGAGAGAATCTTTACATAAATAGTTCTTTATATTTTGAATCCCTGCAATATATTTCCATGTATATCTACCTTCAAGGATATTTGAAAGAAATGGTGCAGTACAGCTAAAATTATTGTGCAATTAGCTGCCTCTTTTTGCTCTTAATTCTACTCCAACAGTTCAGAAGATTATTTAATAATTTCATGCAACTGAAAGCTCAATTAAGTAGATAATATGGAGCTCTGGCCAATAAACACTGCTGAGGCTGATCTAATTTAAGAATAGATTCAATTAGAACTATTTATTATTGTAAATTAGCTAAAACATGAACATTTTACTACGAATAGTAAATTATGCAATGTTTTACTGCCTTATGTTTTAATTATTTGTAAGCTGATTTAAGCACCGAAATGGCAGAAAATGGCCCAGGATTTCTCAAAGTAATAGAGGCTAAATGCATAAGAATAAGGGACACAAGAGGAAGCTGCCTTATCATATGATGTGGTGTGGGCAGATTGCAAAAAGTCAACTAAGTACCCAGGGAAGTAAAAAATATACTGGTTAAATGCCTTTGTAGGGTTTTTCTTTTAACAACATGGTTGAGAAAAAGTGAAGAAAAACAGAATAGGATGAGATATTTCTACGCCAAGCAGATTATTTCAATAATCTGCTGTGCCCAGATTATTGAACCACCTGGGAATAGCACACAGGAGAAAGGGTCTCTTTTCTGAGTGACACCAGTAAGGTGGTAAATGGCCTATGTGAATGTCTGGAGACAGGTGGAGGATGGTCAACGGATTGATGTTGAATCCCAACAAGACAGAGGTACTGTTTCTGGGGGACATGCAGGTGTGGGAGACTCCCTGGTCCTGAATGTGGTAACTGTGCTCCTAAAAGACCAGATGCACAACTTTGGGGTCATTTTGGACACACAGCTGTCCATGGAAGTGTAGCTCAATTCTGTGTCCAGGGCAGCCGTCTACCAGCTCCACTTGGTATGATGGCTGAGACCCTGCACCCTGTCTCACCAGAGTAGTACATGCTGTGGTTATCTCCCGCTTGGACTACTGCAGTGTGCTCTATGTGGGGCTACCTTTGAAGGTGCCTCAGAAACTAAAATTAATCCAGAATGTGGCTGCCAGAATGGTGTCTGGGAGTGGCCGCCGGGACCATATAACCTTGGCTCTAAAAGATCTACATTGGCTCCCAGTATGTTTCTGAGCACACTTCAAAGTGTTGGTGCTGACCTTTAAAACCCTAAATGGCCTCAGCCCAGTATATCTGAAGGAGCGTCTCCAACCCCATTGTTCAGCCCGGACTCTGAAGTCCAGCTCTTCAGGCGGTTCCCTCCCTGCAAGAAGTAAAGTTACAGGGAACCAGGCAGAGGGCCTTCTTGGTAGTGGCACCTGCCCTGTGGAATGCCTTCCCATCAGATGTCAAGGAAATAAACAACTATCTGACTTTTAGAAGACATCTGAAGGCAGCCCTGTATCAGGAAGTTTTTAATATCTGCTGTTTAACTGCGCTGTTATTTTCTGTTGGAACCCAGTCAGATGGGCCAGCTACAAGTAATAAATTATTGTTGTTGTTACTTATCATTAGCGTTGGCACAACTAGGTCAGGAGGGCAAAATGTATGATGGTGAGGTGACTTTTTTCTGTTTCGACACCAATAAAAGACTAAATGAATATTTTCAAGTTTATACAAAACTTTTCACTACTGTACACTAACACATTCACAATCTTTTCAAAGAATACTTTCCCTTATGAGACAGCAAAACAATTACTGTCTTTAATTAGTTGTCCTGAGAGCTGAATTCAATATTCACTAAATATCATTTTTTCTTTAAAATTGTATATTCTCCGTCTCCCTTCATTAACCCTAATGAAAACTCATTAGCATAACCATTATGACCATACTCCATAATTTGATCATCTGTTCCCAAATAGAAAGATTGTAATTTTATTTCCAATAGCAGGCTAATACTACCCTGGCTTCTACAACCATATTAAACAACAATAATAATTTCCCCTTAGAAATTGCATCTGCTTAACATATTATTAGAACAAATCTTGCATTATTTCTTCTTTTATTTTATTTTCAGCCATATTTTCAAGTGTCAACTAGAGGCAATTGTTAGTTGCCACAAGTACTACTTATACATTTGCATCAATTTCAAAGGCGATTCAAGGTTCCTGGAAGCTGTGAAGAATTAAGTAGGTTTGGCTAGCAAAGAGTGAGATGAATGAAAAGGAAAAGTATGTGGCTGGGGGTAGGTGGGGGGGGGTGATAGGAAAGTTCAAGAAAAAACGTTGAGAGCACTAAATTAATAGCAATGCTAGACATTGTAACTGTTTCAGGGGAACGCAAGTATTATACCACACTGGTGTATTCCGCAGGGATCATAATATGCAGTGCTTCCCCAAGGCTATGATAAGGAGAACTCCGATTCAAAAAGATTGGACCCTTTTTATTTCTCAAATTACACGATTATCTCAAGCTTGATACGGACTGATCTACTATAACACAGATATCCACGTTTTGCTTTTGCCTTGCATTACTGTCGTTCTGATTTTTGTAATCTATTCTGAAAATGTAATGAAACACTTACTTTTAAAGATTTTAATAGTTGACTGCCTATTTAAGTTTTGTGAAATGAGTACTTTCTGAGCTCACCCCCAAATCCACCCATAAAATTTTATGCCACTTTGGCAGGGAGAATGTTTTAATTTTTTCCAACGTAAACTTTTAAAGGAAGTCATAAAAGTGTGATAAAAACACTCCTCCCACACCCATGACATATTTTGTTTTAAAGGAAGTCATTTAAAATTTCCTGTCATGTACAATAATCAAAAAGGTGTGTCATTATCAATGCATCATACAAAGAAAATTCAGAAAGGAAAGCAACTCTTCCTATCCTTTCAACCCAAAGTTATGCTGTATTTTAGATAAGATACCAGTGTTAACATAAGAGCAACACAAAGGCACAGTATGTTTTTACACAGAGCCAATAAAAAGTCACATTTATCTACTTCCTTCAGAAGCAACAAATCCATGGATAAACACTGCACTGTGCCTGAAACAAATTCTATCAGAAATTATGCATTATAAAATGGAAGAAAAAGCAAAGAGTACCTCATTAAGATTATTATTTTTAAAAAAAATATTCTTTTCTTAAGATTTAGAAAAATCAAGCATAGCCATGCATACTATTGTGTAAATATAAATATCAGTAACCTCAATCATCTAGTCACATTCTTTAGATTTTAGCAATTTTTTAGATTTTATTCTTTTCCCCCAAAGCCTTTGACAGCTTACCAAGAAGATTCTCTAACGAATTCCATATTTATAGGACAAACTGTCATGCTTTATAATAGTAGAATGCTACAGAGCCCCATGTCATAACCACAGAGACAATCTCACAGCTCTATTTTTTATTTATTTCATTTATATCCCACCTCTCTCCCAAGGCACTTCGCAGCATAAATTAAAAGAAACACCGCTAAAAATACACAAATATAAATATTAAAAAGTAAATAAGTAGTCCTATGAAAAACAGCACTAAAAAAACCTTAGGTAAAGGGACCCCTGACCGTTAGGTCCAGTCGCAGACAACTGGGGTTGCGGCCCTCATCTCACTTTATTGGCTGAGGTAGCCGGCATACAGCTTTCAGGTCATGTGGCTAGAATGACTAAGCCGCTTCTGGCAAACCAGAGCAGCGCACGGAAATGCCGTTTACCTTCCCGCTAGAGTGGTACCTATTTATCTACTTGCACTTTGACATGCTTTCAAACTGCTAGATTGGCAGGAGCTGGGACCGAGCAACGGGAGCTCACCCCGTCGCGGGGATTCGAACCACCAACCTTCTGATCGGCAAGCCCTAGGCTCCGTGGTTTAGACCACAGCACTACCCGTGTCCCTTAAAAAAAAACATTTAAAAAATCCTTAAAACCATTCAAAAGCACAACACCCACCCTTCCAAAATTCTGCCACAATAGCCAGTTCATGACCAAAGACCTGTTTAAACAAAAAAAAATTGCTCGCCAGTGAAAGGAAAGCAGAGAGGGTGCTATCGTGACCTCCCATGGAACGGAGTTCGCCCATCTGGGAGCAGCCACAAAGGACCTCTCTTGTGTCCTCACCATACATGTCTGTGCAGCTGGAGGGACGAAGAAAAAGGCCTCCCCTGAAATTCTCAAAGCCCAGACAGGCTCATATAGGGAAATACAATCCTTCAGACAGCCTCTATAATACAGATGTACTTGCCATTTAGCAACGTGCTGCTGTAGGAATGTCTCTCCAGCTTCAAAAACTATCATGAATAGAAAATGGGTCACTGGGTACTTACTGTGAAGTATCTTTTTCTGATGGACAAGTGATGTCCTGCTAGCCTAGACAGGAAAACCACCTGGTGAATTTGCATGCTGTCTCCTCCCCTCACTCCCACTTTCTGGGGCTCTCTAGTTTCCATTGGGTGACTAAGTTTAAAAGATGTCCTTTGGAAACCTTGGAGTCCTATTTAACGAACATTTTATTACGGAATAACCTTGAAAACTAAAACTTTATAACATGCACAACTATGCAGAGGCAGAGAGATGAGGAGGGCAGAGAAAGGCTCTGAAGCCTTTTCAGAATATAGGCTTACATAACAAGAGAGGAAGTTGCAGTGTGGAAGAGACTGGCTCTTACTGTCCATCAGAAAACAATCCTTCATGCTAAGTACCCAATGACCCATTTTCCTGTCACGACTGGATCCAGTCACAATGGGATCTACCGGAGCCCAGAGTACTGGGGGGAGCACCTATAAGCCATTTGCTGAGAAGAAACTACCTTCTGAAGGAAACTCTGCCCTAAGGCAGCCTCTGCTGAGGCATAAATGTCCATTTTGTAGTGTTTGGTAAATGAGGAGGGTGCCCAGGTGGCTGTCCTACCGATCTATTGAATTAGCAGCCAAGGCTCCCAAAGTCACCACTACCCTGGCAGAGTGGGCCATAAATGCTGGGCATCATAGGCCAGGATGATGGAGGCCTTGATCCAGTTGGTTATGGTGGTCTCTTGGGCCTTCTTTTGCAACATTTTCGGGTGATGAGTGACAAAAAGATTGTGTGAAAGCCACAAGTCTTTATGTGTCTGGGGTCAATTTTGGCAGTCAATAGAAGGGCTAAGGATAAGGGAGCCTACTCCACTGTCAAGAGAAGCATATGTCAAACGGATGCCATCCTTTTCTAGGATTGTATGTCCCAATCTTTCCCCATTGTGATCTCTCTCTCTCTCTCTCTCTCTCTCTCTCTCTCTCTCTCTCACACACACACACACACACACACACACACACACACAGTAAACCTCCAGAATATATTTTGTATAGTTAAGTTTTTACCTCTATCTTCAGTACATTTTATTTTATTGCTATGACTAGTGGTTGATGCAAATAAAGATTCTTCTGATGATGTAGAACACACACACAAAACTCCCTGCAGGATGGCTATAGAACACTTCCAAGAGTCTGCTGAAGGATGAACCACCAAGAGAGTTACTGAATGTATGGAATCCAGTGCCATGCATTCAAGTGCTCTGGTTAATTAAAATGATATCAGATAATCGCAACGCGGGGTTGTGATTAATAAATGTTATGAGGGTTTTTTGGAATGATATTAAAATTGTATCATAAATGTTTTTAAAGTAATTTGCTTTAACTGGCGACTGAAGGAATTATTATTATTATTATTATTATTATTAACAGCTGATAGTTTTGATAACTAAGATGTAATTTAACTACTGAAAAGTAATCATTATTCATTTTATCAATGCCAATTACCTTGCTAAATTATTATATTGTTATGAAATGCAACAGTAAAGACAAATCATGGTGTGTCTTTGAACTATCATGTTCACAGGTTGAAGGAATGTTCTGCAATATAAAAGTTTGTTTCAAACTAAACTAAAGAGAACACATTTAGAAATTTTATTTTACAAAGATAATGCATTTATAACATGAGCAAACAGCTGTCACTCATATCAAAGTAGAGAATTCCTTGTGGAAAAGAATGTAAACCTGAAATTATTCTTCCCCACTTTTGGCAATATATGACCCTAGTTTCTTACCATGATCAAGTATTATCAGCTGGGCTCCAGACTGTATGTTTCCCACATCATTGTCTGCAATACACTGATAAAATCCTTCATCCGATTTCACTAGACCTAAAACTTGTAGGTCATGCTCATTCTAAAAGAGAACACATACATGGCATAATATAATATTCACTAAAATGGAGAAGTTGAAACTACAAAGGCTTCAAAGGGTGGGGAAACGTGGGAAACGATGTTTTTATGCCTCATGACACTTCTAAATTACATTTGTGTTCAAGAGCTCTTGGACTTCAGTGCTCAACTTCCACAACATCAAGATCAGCACAAATTGTTAGAAAAACAGCAATATTTGGCAACCATTAATGGGCATTGACAGAATTGCTGTATGTACCAAACAGTGTTCTAGTCTAATTGAAAATGGTCTCCTGAAAAGACCTAAAAAGACCATCAATGGAAAATGAAACTGGTCAGGAGTGCCTCTATCCTACCTTCCGAAGGATGATGGTGATGAAGGCTGATTTTTCCAAATGGAATGCAACAAACACCCCAAAGATGGGAGAGATACTTCACAAAGCATATTCACATGAGGCATTAGAATAAGCTTTCGGTGTCCTAGCATGAGGATGCAACCTATTGTCACATTGGCAAGGTCTGCCATACTTTTTCTATTGATAAAGTACAATTAGAAGTGTGAGTGAACTTGTATGACCAACATATTTTATACCATACCGCATCACAAAATTGATCCTCTAAATTTAAAGGGTCTTTCTGCCTATCTAGGTTCAAACTATTGTGACTATGCAGTTATTGGAGAGAGAAAAATGAAAATTGATAGTTTGGTGGCTCAAGCATACATTGATTAATGTACCCAATTTAGCGCTATATACGTTTAGTTAAAACACAAGGAAATCAAGCCATAGGATACATACTAAAGATATACTCACTACAATTTTAAAGTAGTCACTAGGGATCACCACATCTCCATTCTTTACCCACTTCACTGTTGGAGTTGGCTTCCCAGTCACATCACATTCAAACACAATATCCATGGATTCATGAGCATAAATATTAGAGGGTTGCTTCAGAAACTCAGGAGGAGCTTTAAATAAAAGGAAGAAAAGCACTTACAGATTACTGATCAAATATGGCATACACTGTTCAACCATTTCATATGACAAAATTGAGTAGAGAAGCAGACTAAATATATATTGTAGCTATATATATGTTGCAAAGAAATCTATTAGAGAGATTACCAGCTTTCAAAAATAATTGCTATTGCTCAAGATCAAGTAATCAAGTAGTTCAATTTCAGTAGGAATGACAATCTAGTAAACTTTTAAACTATAATTTGCCTCTTAACAGATTAAATAAATTAAAATACATCAAGTGATACCTTTGAGAAACGGATGCAAGTACAGTACAAGATAAATTTCATAAATAAAAGCAACTTGCTCACTGTTAGAAGGAAAAGTCATCTTTAGTATTCTTCATCATAGAAGCCTTCAAAAATAAACTTGTAACCCTAATTAGAATTGTGCCTTGCCAGTTAAGTAACTAAAACTTTAGCTGGTTAATGTAGCAATTGAAGTTGCAGCCCTAGTTTTAAATATTTATTTTACATTTCAACAGAATGGAGATTATGATTAAGGGCAAAGAAGGCATTGCAGAGCACCAGAACCTAAATAAAAGCTGCCCCAAATGACTGTTCCTTTAATGTTTGAATGGATTAAGCTACCAAGCTGCAATAGCACTAAAAGGATCTGTTGCAGATGGGGAACAACTTCAACCAAACTGAATTGTGCAATGGGAAAGGAACAAGAGGCATAAGATAACAACCAGAAATCTGAAGTGTCTTGCTTATCAAATAACATGATGGATGAGTAATATTTTTAGTTTCTATGAGCAGGTCCGAATACAAATCTGTTTAATGAGGGGAACACCATTCCCAGTGCTAAATTCAAGCATATGCCTGAATTCCATCCTCAATGGGTCTTGCTTTAATACAATTAAGTTTTGTTTTGTTTTTTATCTTAATTGTCATAGGATTATTTGCTTCCGTACACTCAGGTGGGTTGGAGGCAAGTAAAGCCATGTTCTTCGTGAAAGTTGAACATAAAATACTCAAATTCATTAGACATTCTTCTCCATTTACAAGTTTAAATGTTTTTGAAAGTTATTTTTGTAGCTTAACTATATTAGTATTCAGTACACATAGCAATTAAGCACAAGTACAGATGTTTGTGGTAAACAAGTTAAATGGATAACCAGAGAACAAACGAGCCAATTACATAAAATACAATTTTATTGGAAAATCACATGTTTTAGCACCAGACAATTATATTTCAAAGCAGCCTTGGGTGTTTACTCTTTCCACTTCACCTTTCCTAGTGACACTATCACCCAGAGAACAAGTATATATAATGAACTATTGAATTTACTGTAATGGGTTAAGATTATGCACATTTTATTAAGCTTACATACATGGAAATTAAGCAGTCCATGAAAAGAAAGTCAAGGCCTCAGACATCTGCTTTCAACCCTTACACTATGACAGCCTTTCATTCATTTGTGGCAAGTCTGAATAAGCGACAGGTTGCATTTCTTATACCAAGGGAAAAGAAAAACTTTTAAATCTCCTTCCAACCCGCAACTGAGCCTTTGGTCAAAAGGATCACTGTATTTTAGTATATCATTGTACTGTATTTTAATTTATCATCGTATTTTAATATTCTGCTGGAAGCCGTTAAATGTCTTGTTCAAAAAATACTCCTACAAGACTGGCAAATGGTCTCTTTCATGAAGCAGCAGCTGGTATAAAACTTCAATAATATATAAAGCTCCAGTTTTTAAGATATCGCCGAAGAATTGATGCTTTTGAATTATGGTGCTAGAGGAGACGCTTGAGAGTCCCATGGACTGCAAGAAGATCAAACCTATCCATTCTTAAGGAAATCAGCCCTGAGTGCTCACTGGAAGGAAAGATCCTGAAGCTGAGGCTCCAATACTTTGGCTACCTCATGAGAAGAGAAGACTCCCGGGAAAAGACCCTGACATTGGGAAAGACTGAGGGCACAAGGAGAAGGGGACGACAGAGGACGAGATGGTTGCACAGTGTTCTCGAAGCTACCAACATGAGTCTGATCAAACTGCGGGAGGCAGTGGAAGACAAGAGTGCCAGGCATGCTCTGGTCCATGGGGTCACGAAGAGTGGACACGACTAAACAACTAAACAACAACAACAAAGCTGAAATGTAGGGCTAACGCAATTCCCTCAACTCAGTATCAGTGTCTTTACTGCAAATATTCTAGAACCATATCAACAGCTAATTTAGCCATATTTTTTGTCCCTTAGGTCTTCTCAATAACCCTTACAAAAGCAACAATTTTGCAAAATGGCATGTATCATTGATAACATTGTTTTAAGTCTCTTAACACTGTTAAGAAACTTAAAACAGTTTCGGAAAATAAGTGCAACTACTCTGCATCTATTCCATAAAGGTAGTTAACTAAAAATGTAACAAAATAAAAGCAAATTAAAAGAGATTAGATTCTCCTTGAGAAAGTTGGTGAATCCAGGAAGAATTGCTCTAGGGAACTAATAGAGTAAACTGAATCTTATTAATCCTGTTAGAATTATTTGCAGCTTTGATGCAGCTGATCATGAAATTATTTGGGAATACAACTTTGTGTTTGGAAGGGATTTAGGGAACTGCTTGTTAAAAATTCTGCCCACTATTGGCAGAGAGGATGCTCAAGGGTGGTGATGGGTAATTACCTAACATGTTTAGGGATGCTTCCAATGTGGTTCTACAAGTTGTTGCTGTGTTCCCAAGTTGTGTTCAATATGAATACATGGCGGCTTGGTGAGATTATATTTCTGTATGATGTTCAATGCTAGCAGAATACTGGTAACACACACCTCTCTTCCTGCTTTTCATCTAGCCCTGTCCACTAATGTAGTCTTCCAATGACTGGTCATGTTTGGGAATTAGATGTATGCAAGCTGACAAATGAAATTCAGACATGACTGAATCAGCTGGTTTTGTGACTTGGGAGGGAACTGGGATTCCTGTCACATCTGGGAGTTGACTCCCTGTGGTCCGTCTGGATCAGTGTTTCTCAACCTTTGGTCCCCAAATGTTGTTGAACTACAACTCCCATCATCCCTGAGCTCTGGCCTTGCTAGCTAGGAGTGATGGGAGTTTTAGTTCAACATCTGGGGACCCAAGGTTGAGAAAGGCTGGTCTAAATACGCAGGTTGCAACGGGGGCCCAAAATGCTTTTTACCAGCTTAATTCAAGTGGGAGAAGTAAAAATGCACTTAAATTTTAAATCTCTCAGTACTAGTTTTTACTTTCTTCTGTAAATCTGTATGATCAGAATTCAAAACATGTTTGCTCAGTCTGTTGTATTTTTGTGCTTAATGCAAAACTCTTAAAAATAGATAGATTTAAAGATGTCATACAACTCAACTGGAAACCAACCATTTCCATGTAGTTTACGTCATAATATTTACAGGAAACTCTGGAGACCCAAGTAGAGTGAATGAGAAATATAAAATATTCCCCAGCTGAAAAGTGAACTTATAACCTTGTCAGCATATGTCTGTCTCCATGTAATTTCCTGTGTTTAACCGATTAAATGAATGCCACCTTCTGATAATCTACGTAAGGGAAATTCATCATTTTATTTTCAGTGGCTAAATGAGATCAGACTACATCCCCTACCCTGGCCCAACACCTTTGTATTACACACGAACCTAACATGGAAAACACTGCACAATAATCGTACAACATTAGACCTATAGACATTTATTGGGGGGGTTGCAGGGGAAGGGTGGTGGCTGCTTCCCCCTTCCTCCACTGTGTAAACCATCATGCTTTGATTACTTTTGGGGGGGGGGGAGTGGTTAAGCAAGTTTCTGGCATTTGTAGAAAACAAAATTCTGAGGCACTATTCTCATTTATTTTGTGAGAAACTAGACTACTCCAACCTTTCTGTGTTTTCTCCAAGCATGCAACTGAGCAGGCAGGTGGGCCCAGGCAGGTCTTCCCACATCCCTTGTGTTGCCATTACCACTACCCCGCTGCCCATGAATGCTCACTCTACCTGAGCAAGGGCTGTTCATCACTGCTGTTGCCACCACCCAGTTTGCCCAGAACTCCCCCATCCCTTCACAACTTGCCCCAATCCTGAAATCCTGCTGCCAAGAGCAGAAAGTGTTTTAACCCGGAGCAGTATGGTGTGGAGGGGGTAAAGACATTCTCCTGTTCATTCCCCTCTGCTTTAGGCCATGGCAGCAGGATCTTGGGATTGGAGTGCTTGCTGAACGGATAGGATGGGGCATTTTTAGGTTAACTGTGGGGGCATGGGGAATGGCAATCGGGTGGCGGGTAGGCAGGGATGACTGGGGGTAGAAAGAGTTGTGGGGGGCTGGCAAGGGGGGTAGCTGGGATTGAGGTTCAAACCTAAGTAACTATAGCTTGTGTAGCCCACAAACCAGAATATGAAGTTAGCTTATGAATCTCTGTTTCAGTTAACCATGGTTTCTCATTACATCTGAACACACTACCCTGGTTTTATCCTGGTTTGTTCTGGCACCCTGCCCCAAATGCTCACTAAGCTATCAAGGAAGGAAGGAAGAGCTGTTGAAATACTAAACATTATGCAAAACAAGCAACAGTTACATTGCACTGAGCTAGTGTATGTTGAATATTGGTTCCTGGCCTAACCCTTAATTATAGGGATCAGTAGAAATTACTGTACCTCCTCTGTCCCATAAACAGCACATAATTTTAAGATATAGAAATTTGTGGTTTTGACTTTTCTCTCTTGCAAAGTAGTTACATACCTTGTACAATCAGATCAGCTTGAGCTTCAATTGTTTCATTTCCATTATCTGCAATACAGGTATATGTTCCAGCATCATCTTCTGTGATATCGTTGATCTTCAGAGTCCCTCCAGCCAGCAATAAATAATTTTTAGAACTGTGCAAAACAGGACAGATTGGTGATTTTTTTTTTGAAAATTTCCTAAAGTCAATTTTTAAGGGCTTGTTCTTCACAGAAATCAAAAGACATTCAATCTCTTAAAATTTTTGTACAGAATATTCCTGTGCCACAATTTTCTGAGGCAATTTAACATATTTATTTATCCAGAACTGAGTGTTACAGTAGCATTCAGTACAGCAGAAACATACTCCTCCAGATCTCCTATATGAGTTTCTAGAGACCTAAGCGACTTTTAAAAGGGTCAAGTCAAGCCACTATCTCCTCTTTAACGTAACTCATTCTACATAGAACTGTGTATTTCATCTAGCTTACGGACAGTGCTGTTTTCAGCTTTCACTCAGTACTGGCAGCAACAGCAGTTGCAGGAAACACACTGCTAGGGCAGACATGAGATCCTAGTATCAAATTTTAAATAGTGTTTCAGCTCTATTCATTGAAGACAAGCTACTGAGGGCCTAGCTACTGAAAGCTCCAAAACCAGCTGCTGTGGTGCTCAATGTTCAAATTTTGTTGAGTCAGTGAGCAGCTGGAAGGCCCCAGGTAACCCTTTATTTGCTGACCACATTCCCTTCTAAGTTATTTTTTATGGGCTTGCTTTTTGCAGAGATCAAAAGGCATTCAAATATGAGCATTAAATGTTTTAGGCACTTGAGCTTTGCAGCCTTTATCTATGCATTAAACATATTATAATTACATAGGCAACAGAACAGACAGTTGGTCATAGTCATATAACATAGAAGTCACTATCAAAAGGAAAGTCAGACTTAGTCCAATAGAGTTGTGATTAATGTGCTTACACAGTTACAACAAGCCCACCTGGCAATCTCCCAGAATAATCAGCTTCATATGACTTCCTCCATCAATAAAACATGGCCGAGAGTAGGGGTTTTTTAGGATGGGAAGAGGTAGCCGAGAGGTAAGAGCTGATGTAACACCAGAACAACTACCCACCTTTCTGTAACAAGCTCTTCTTCATTTCTTGTCCATCTGATAACAGGAATGGGAATGCCTGTAGCAACACATGGCAAAACGGCATTCTGCCCAGTAATTTTGGTAAGTGAAGAAGGCTGTCTCAGAACACCTGATTTGAGGCAACTTCAGATTCTGTAAATATTGAGATCAGAAAGTCCAAGGTTATTATAGTAAAAATAAATGTAAAGTGATATTAACAAAACACAGTAATTATGGATGCAATGCTCTAGACCACGCTGTTCCACACTTGCTTCTTCATACATACTGATCATTACAACTAAAGCTTTGCCAAGAAATAACCAAGGCAATTTGTGTTAGAAACTTTTCTCAGAAAATGGCCACCACCAGTAAATAACTATACTAGACAAAAATATTTGACATAGACATAAATATTGATCTCTGCATACTTTGCTGTCTTGACCATGTCTGCAAAAGTCTCTTGCAAAAAGTTCATTACAAGAAAATTATGCTACTATTCAGGAGTCCTTTTAAAAAAAACCAGCCTTTTTAAAGTAAACTTTTATAAGTACAACTCCCAGGGATCTACAGAATACATTGAGATGGCTAACTTTAAATGACAAAGAGCAACTTGACAGAACCTATCTGCCAGCAATTAAATAATATTACTAGTGAGTTGCAATATTACTAGTGAGTTGGAGAGAAAAATCTGAGCACATATGCCTGTACCTGGAAGAACTTTAATCTCTGCTTCATCACTGTATTTGGGAGAACCACCAATTTCAATAATACAACAATATGTTCCGCCATCTTCATCTGTAGCATTACTAATAATTAAAGCTCCACTTGGCAATTTGAATACACGGTCATCCAGAAAGAGTGGCTCATGATCTAGCTCCCACCTTACAAAGGGTGCTAGATCAGCATTTACTTCACAATTAAGAACTATGCTGTTTCCTCTATAGACTGATGCTGACTCCGGCTGACTGATGAATCTTGGAAGTCCTAAAAAGAAAAAACACACACATAAGATTGTGCATCTGTACTATTCCTTATTTTTTCTTTCTTGCAGTCATATGTTTGCTTACAATGCAGCAGAATGTCAACTATAATTCCATTATGAAAAATAGGTTGACTCATTAGCCTACTGTCCAGGATTGTTCATAAGCATATCTTATTGTGAAACATAGGTTTGTCCACAAGCTCAGCTATCAAGCCCCCTTTGATTACATTACTCCAGAATGAAATAATGGATACTGAGCTCATGTACTTGCTCTAAGTTACATATTTAACTAAATAATGATATCATTTAAGTTCTGCACTGACTGTATTGAGCAGAACAAAATTTAAAAACTGGTAGAAGAGCTGTAAAGTTCCTGATTTCAGATGGAAAATATTGCCATACTAAAATATGAAAACATATCCCTTCTCCCCTTTCAACAATTAAGATGAAAATATATATAAATCCATTTACATGGCTTTTAACTATGTGCTACTTCCATGTTTCCAATTTATGCAACGGAGACATATATAGCATCTCATTCTGCCAGTGAATCACAGCCTTAGGAAATGAGGCAGCCTGTGGAATCTGCACAGATGACATCCCTTAATGCAGAGGTGGGGAACTTCATGGCCAAGGGCAAAATGGAGCCCTCCAGGTCTCTGCTTTGGCCATACCTCCTCCCCAGGTCACATCCCACAATAACCTTTGCACCCACCTCAGGTGCTTTTGCCTGTCTGTAATGTCTCCTTGAATTGCTATACAGTGGTACCTTGGTTTACAACCATAATCCGTTCTGGATGTCCGTTTGTAAACCAAAACAGGTTGTAAGCCAAGGCATGCTTTCGCCAATGGGGCCTCCAAAAAAAATGGGTTGTAATCCAAAAAAAAAAAAAATGGGTTGTAATCCAAAAAAAGGTTGCAAACCGGGACACACACTTCTGGGTTTAATGTGTTTGTAATCCAAAACGTATGCAAACCAAGGTACAACTGTAATGCCTTTTGCTTATCTGAATGGAGCAATGGGATGGGGTATAGAAACCTCTCTGTTTTTTGTACGGTTGGAAAGTAGCCTACTGTACAAAAGTAAGTGTCACATCTAGGGCTGGGCGATGTTGGGTTTTCAACATCGCAGTGTATCGCCAGCCAAACATCGCAGTTTGGTGATAAACTGCAATGTTGAAAAAAGCTGCATTGGCTCCAGCCAACAATGTGCCCGGTGAAACTGCCACAGCTCTCATCATGGGAGCTGAGGCGCTTTTACCTCCACACCTCATGGGCTGCTGTGGCCAATAAGGGCCCCACTGCTCACTTTGGGGGCAGAAAGGCTCCCACCCTCAGCTGAGAGAGCCCCGAGTCCCCTGCCACTCGCACACAACCAGCAGGGCACTCAGGCTCCTTGGTCAGGCTCCACTGGGGGTGGGAGTGCTTCTGCCCCCAGTGGAGCCAGCCCCAGTGTTCCTGCCACTCACACTCGAGCAGCAAGGACCTTGGGGCTCCTTGGCCAGGATGCCTTCACTGGTGGGGGGGGGGCAGGCGAGCTACCTTGCCCGCTCGCCCCTCACTCCCCGAAGACGGACCAGGCAGCAGTAGCCAAGTGCAAGCAGGAGTGGAGTCGGGGCTTGCTCAGCTGCGAAGGGTAGGCTTCGCGCATCCCAGCCCCAATCCCACTCCTACTCACATGCAAGCAAGAGCAGAGGAGGGGCTCTCTCAACTGGGGAGGAGGAGCACTTTAAGGGAGCAAAAATTGACCATGGTATCCTCCTGGACCATCCAGGGATATCAGATGCATTGTGTTATGGTAGTTCTGTTTGTAGCTTAAGGGGTGGGTTCGGAGAGTAGCACTGGGTGGGTGTTCTTTGGCCCTCTGGTACTTGTGCAATGGGGTTTCCACAGAGTACTATCCTATTCCCGGTGCTCTTTAACATCTAGATGAAGCAGTTGGGAGTGGTTATTGGAGTTTTGCAGCAAGGTGTCAAAGTATACTGATGACACACAGGTTTACTTCATCATAAGATTTATTATTATTATTATTATTATTATTATTATTATTATTAACCACCCTATATCCATAGATCTCAGGGAGGTTCATGGAAAGACTAAGGTTCCTTGGGTGGGTGGTTCCCATATCCAGGATATAGGCAAGTTACCTGTTCTGTTTACTGTATGATTTTTGAACCTGATTTTTTATGAATAGTACATAAATATTTTAATATTAAATAAATAAATCAACTGTAAAAGTATTTGACCTTAAAAGAAAAGGGAAGTGGACAATGAATTTAATTTTTTTATTTATAAAAATTATCCCACCCTTCCTTTCAAAGGAGCCCAGAGAGGCATTAAACTTTATAATTTAATTAAAGATTCCAAAGTTCTAAAATTTAGTTTCCTATATTATAAAACTGTTTCAGTTATTCCATGTTTTGGGTGAGGTGAGGAAACAAGGTCATATTTTAGAGTAGGGCTATTGTCTCAGCCAAACATTTCCTGGACACAAATTCCCATTAAAAAGTCAACATGGTATGATTATGGAAAAACAAAAATGAAATGAGCATGTGTTTATAAAAAATGGAGAAAAAAGAAAAACAGCTGAAACACCAGGTTTATGGCTTTTTAGCTCCTATCTGAAGTGTTAGCCATTGTTTTTATCATTTATTCTTAAATACATATAAGTACAGTGTTTTGCTTTACTGCTGACAATAGTTATTGCACACGTCCATTTTAAAGTAACATTTTCTTCATATACACGTCCCATATTAGAATAAGGTGCTTTGTGACAGTTGTTGAGCTTTTCTGCCAAAGTTATTTGTTTCTTTGTTTTGCTGGGGCAAAGATATTGAGCTTTGTTTGGCCGACTGCAGTATTCCATATATGTCCAGGAAATTTGTATGGCAACCCTAAATATACAGTCCATGAATTATAACCACTACATACTCTGTGAACGTGAACAGTCAAAGTTTCCACTAACTGTTGTATACAAGTGATTAGTTAGTACTCCACAAAAGACTATCACTATCACATTTGATGACCCTAATTCAACAGAAATGAGAATTGACATAGTCTACACAGCTCAGTTGCAGGGACGCGGGTGGCGCTGTGGGTAAAACCTCAGCGCCTAGGACTTGCCGATCGCATGGTCGGCGGTTCGAATCCCCGCGGCGGGGTGCGCTCCCGCTGCTCGGTCCCCGTGCCTGCCAACCTAGCAGTTTGAAAGCACCCCCAGGTGCAAGTAGATAAATAGGGACCGCTTACTAGCGGGAAGGTAAACGGCGTTTCCGTGTGCGGCTCTGGCTCACCAGAGTAGCTTTGTCACGCTGGCCACGTGACCCGGAAGTGTCTGCGGACAGCGCTGGCTCCTGGCCTCTAGAGTGAGATGAGCGCACAACCCTAGAGTCTGTCAAGACTGGCCCGTATGGGCAGGGGTACCTTTACCTTTTTACACAGCTCAGTTGCAAATCATGAAACCCATATTAAATTTTTCCCTCTACCATGTACAAAATCTGACAAGCCACTTCTCTCAGCATTAGCCTCCACTTGCATCTATTCATCCTACAAGGTTTTAAGGATACAAGGCATTTATATGATTATGTAAATTGTTACATAAATTCCAATTTTTCCAATGGCAGCATCCTGACTGTATAATTCACTCCCAAAGAATGTGAAACCAGCCCCATTCTTGATAGCAATGAAAATATTCTATGTGGTCTTAATAGTTTTTAATGCAGGACTAAAAGTCTGAATTCTCCTCCTCTTGATTTTACAATTTTAGCTTTAAATTTTGTTACCTTTGCGTAATCCAACTATTTTACTTGGCAAGCCTTTCGCCAATTGCTGCTCATCTCAGAAAAAGCACAAGAAAAAGTAGATCTTTTTCAGCCTTGTCCCTCCTACTCCGCAATAGCAGCTATTTTATTATAGCTGGTCACAAAATATAGCAAATTACACAGAGGTTATGCTTTACACTAGGCTCCTTTGGACAAAGGTGTTGGGTAAAAATCTAACTAATAATAATAATACTCTGCAACTAGGGTTCTTGTAAGTAACATATCGCTGTAGATTCATCTCATTAGATGAGGTAAATATTGTCATCCACCAACCATTTTCTCTACAGAACTTAAGCAATAACTAAAATTTTCTGTTCACTGTGATCCAGGAAATATTTTAAGAATTAGTCTATAACACAAACAATTAAACTCAGCAAAGGCCACAAGCTTTCTGTATCACAGGGAGTGATAGGAACCAAATATTCTGATGGGCACATGCTTAGCACCCTCCATCTCTTCTTCATCTTTGCAAAGTCAATTTGAAAGACTGAAACCGCTTCACAGATTAAAGGAATGAGGCTCCAAGCAGCAGGAACCTACTGCCAGTTTTGAAGCTTTGTTAAAGCTCCACAAGTATTGCACTTTTCCTCCTCACAGTAATAATCATGATGGCAGGGAAGATAAAAACCATGACATGACATGATTGTATGATGGTGTTGTGTTCCATGAGCAGCGAGACAATGCTACAGGGGCAATACTACAATCTGTATAAGGAGAATGCACTAGTCTCTTTTTATCATTTGTTAATTTACAAATAAGGGACGCGGGTGGCGCTGTGGGTAAAAGCCTCAGCGCCTAGGGCTTGCCGATCGAAAGGTCGGCGGTTCGAATCCCCGCGGCGGGGTGCGCTCCCGCTGCTCGGTCCCAGCGCCTGCCAACCTAGCAGTTCGAAAGCACCCCCGGGTGCAAGTAGATAAATAGGGACCGCTTACTGGTGGGAAGGTAAACGGCGTTTCCGTGTGCGGCTCTGGCTCGCCAGAGCAGCGATGTCACGCTGGCCACGTGACCCGGAAGTGTCTCCGGACAGCGCTGGCCCCCGGACTCTTGAGTGAGATGGGCGCACAACCCCAGAGTCTGTCAAGACTGGCCCGTACGGGCAGGGGTACCTTTACCTTTTTAATTTACAAATATTCAAGATGGATGTGGGTGGAGGGGAGGGATTCTTGAAGCATACAGTATTAACTAATAAGCCTGAATCAGATTACCATACAGCAACAGCAACACCTCCCCTGCTACCCAGCTTATCCTTTCCCCAAACTCTCAAGGGTGTAAAATTCCCAAGGCTAGCAGAGATTCCAAGTCATTAAGGACCATTAAAGTCCTTACATCCCCAATCGACCATCAAGTTTGTCAGGCAAAAGCCCAGGACAGACCCGTTTATGCTAATTGGGCCATCAAACTCATTATACTGGAGATAAAAATCAAGCACTTGTGCCTTGTGTTCTTCCTTTTGTCACAATTTAATACACGCAATGTTTGAATTTTAAAAAGCAGCAAATATTGCTGGGTTGTGGAAGGAATTCATTACCCAAAGCTTTTTATTAAGCAAAGAAAACAACCCTGAGAGGAGCTTATAGTTCATTAGGGAAATGAAAGAAAAAGCTACATTAGTCAAGTTTTTCCAATCTAAAACTACTACTATAAGGTTCTTTCCCCCTTGTTTCTCCATTCTCTGTGTCAAAATAAAATTCTGAGGTGTAGCATGCAATAGTCTGCATAATGCCAAATCATTTATGGAATATAACAGATAAGTAAAGTAGAGACCTACAAAAACACATGTGAAGAACAGTCCTTTGGCCCTTCACTATCATTTATGCAGAGCAACTGACTTCTGAACCTTGTTGTGTGGATAGTGTGTTAGGGAGTTGCCTGTGCAGCAGCACACCAAATACACTGTGATAGCAAGGTGGGGGGACCCCTCAGGCAGAAAGTCCACTAAAAAAATCCCTTCACATACAATGCAGGCAGGATGTTGCCTGTGAAACTGAGGGGCCAACATTTGTGAGATGGGATAAGCACAAGAAAGGAAACAACTTTAAAATACTCACCAGCTACTGTGAGCTTAGCTGTTCTGCTTACAATGGTTCCAAGGCTTTCCACAGTTGCAACACACTGATAATGCCCTTCATCAGGCTTATTGTGCTTAGAATGCACTACACTGTTGATTAATAAAGATCCATCTGGTAGCAACTGGCGTCGGTCATCTGACACCAAGTTTAAGAAAGTCCCATCCTTTTTCCATTCGATTTTTGGAGATGACTCACAGTAAGCTGAACAATTCAGTATAACAGATGAAGCTCTAACTGACAGAGTGTCCATTGGCTCCACAGTAAAATAAAATGGAGTAAAAGTCCTCACTGTGGGTCCTGCAAAACACAAGAGAAATGAATAGTTTTTAAATGTTTCTCAGATATCCTAAATATTTATTTTACAACAATTGAATATTGTTCCTTACATTCTGATATGTTAACTGCTTTTGGTAGTAAATATTTGAAATAAATATATGCTTTGATACCCTGTGTAACGGAACCAATATATATCATCATCATCAAAAATATTTACATTTTCCATCTCATGAAGAAACTACCATAGGTTCTAGAAAGGACTATGAAGTTGGTGGTTAAATAGGCAATCGTGCTTAGCATGCATATGTTTACAGAGATGTATATATTTCACAAATCACACACACACACACACACACACACACACACACGTAGATGCAAGTTACTTAGAAGTATAAGCCATGAGGCATATGGCTTGTAAGTCCAAAGTTTGGTTTAAGCTGCTTGATAATATAAAACATCCTTCTGCAATCTGCTGCCCTCCAGACTACCTGAGCCAACATGGTCAATGGTGAAGGACAATGGGAGTTGTTAGCCAAAACATCTGGAAGGCACAAAGTTGAAGAAGGCCAGTATAAGGGTCCTGTTGAGTTGCAAACCATAAATATTACCCATCTTGTCCAAAGAGAAAGATTATAAAATAAGATTACGAGATTTCCTCTTTTCCCGGGGACAGTCCCCAGATTTACAAATCAGTCCCCTGACAAATTCCATCTATTTAGTAGGAAGTTCAAAAGTGTCCCCGGATTCATTGAAAAAAATCTGGTAACCTTATTATAAAAGAGTAACAACAAGCTGGAAATGGCATAGAGACTGGAGAATATGCCCTACAGACAGAGTGAACTTACATGTTATGGTATAACAGGACTATTGTCAAAATAACTTACTCATGTTCTGTTTTTATCCTCACCACCAATGTGCAGTACTGATTTAACTTATGTCATTTCATCACAACATTCTGCATTTCCCTGCCTCTAGTTCAAAATTTATCTACTATGGTCAAAAAATTCGCAACATTAGGATTCCATAACGTGGCAAAGAGTAAATGATACTTAATGTTACAGAGAGGGGAAATAAGAACCTGACAATTTTCAGAAATAACCCTATGTCTTTCAAAATATGCAAACCAGAACTAATAGGTCATCCAATGAAACTGATCAGCACTAGGTTCACGAAAGACTACTCACTGACTGACATAAGGAAATCACTACCACAAAATATGTTGGATGCTAGCTAGCTAGATAGCTAGCTATTGCTATTACTATTGTTCTCGTTCTCTCCCTCTCCCTCTCCCTCATTTTTTAAAGCTAAGTCTACCAATACCTGTTTGCCAAGACAAATTAATGCAACTCCACATGCTGGGGGCAAACAGGGGATTGCTATCATGACCTGCATATAAACTCCTGAAGCCCCAGAGCCACCTGGCTGTTATTTCTTGGCATTGGAACACTGGAACAGATGGCCCTTGGCCTAATCTAGCAAAACAATTTTTATAGTCTTATGAAGTTTTGCATGTTATCTCTCACACTGAAAATTTAAAGTGAAGCCACATCCTCCCCATAATAATTTAACATACAATATATTCTGTTTTTTCTAGAAAAGCTTTATCCCTCATTGTGTAACCAGGGTCTGTCATACAAGAAATTAAATTGTTTTGTAAATATACTTTACATTAAATGAGAATATTAATGTTTTTTCATGAAGCTTTCCCCAAGCTGCCGTAGCCTTCACATAGTTTAATCAAAGGTAACTTGACTTTAATTGCAACAGAGCCTTAACATTCAAGACTAACAGTATCTTTGCTAAGAAATTTATTCTCTGCTGAACGAGGGCTAAATAACCTGACTGGAATACATGGTGAATACACATTTTAAGTTAATCATATTCTCGGTATACAGTTCCTTAATGTATACTGCCTTCCAACAGAAGAGAGGGCAAATATGTTAAGTAGTTTTAATCTAGTGATTAGAACAGTGGGTCCCACCCAACCTTACTGGTATGGCAACCCACAAGTCAATGTAAGTATGGTGCCACTGATTTATTGTCATGAGAAAGTCGGACCGTAGAACCTCTGGAAGTGTCAGTATGATACTTTGAAAATTGCCTCTCCCACACACCCAACTTCCTGTGTCCCTCACACTTTTCTACTGAATTTGTGGTGAACTTTTAATTAAAAAGTTAATAAAGATAAAAAATGCATAATATAAATCAAAGTGCTGAACATTTTATAGATACACCAAGGGCAGCATATCAGTGGGTGAACATAGTGGACATAGCCCAAGTAAGTGTGTCCAACCTGTACTCGCTCTCATGTGTGCATTCCCATATACAGGTACAGTAGAACCTTGGTTCTCGAATGGCTTAGTCGACGAACAAATCGGCTCCTGAACGCCGAAAACCCAGAAGTGTGTTTTCCGGTTTTTGAATTTTTTCAGAAGCCGAACATCTGACGTGGCTTCCACCTGAGTACAGGAAGCTCCTGTAGCCAATCAGAAGCTGCACCTTGGTTTTCTAACAGTTTCAGGAATTGAACGGACTTCCGTAATGGATTAAGTTTGAGAATCAAGGTTCCACTGTAGTAGATACAGCTGAGCAGCAGCAAATAGAGGGCTGCTCTTTTGGGAACTGCCACTTCAAGATGCTCCAGGTTCTTTGAGGCACCAACTCCAACATTGCTGACTTCCACTGACCAATGAGAAAGGTAAGACAAGACATTAAGAAGTCTCCTCTATCTTAGCTAAGCAAGGGGGAAATATTGGAGAATTCCTTCCCATTTCTTGCTCAACAAGGCTCAAACCTAAAGTATGGTGTTGATCTCCAAAAACTGAGGTAGGGATCTGAGATTTTGAAATGTTATACCCAGCTATGTTGTGCAGTCAATTTCAGCAATGTTCCTTACACTGACAATTATTCAACAATTCAGTCATTCATTCATTTAAAAAAAACCTACCCATATCTCATTGTTAAACAACTAAAGCAAAGCTGGGGGGATAAACAATGGATGTCACTAGTGTACCGTATTTTTCGCACCATAGGACGCACTTTTTCCCTCCTAAAAAGCAAGGGAAAATGTGTGTGCGTCCTATGGAGCGAATGCAGGGGGGGAGGCAGGCGGGAAAAGCCCCCAAGAGCTCCGTGCGCTCTTGCGGGCTTTTCCACAGGAGGGAGAAGGGACTGACTGGCCGCATCAGTCCCTTCTCCCACCTCCCAGGAAAGCCAGGAGAAGCCGTGCAGCCCTTTTAAAGTGCACGCGGCTTCTGCCGGTTTTGCGGGAGGTGGGGGAATTCCCCCACCTCCCAGAAAAGCCAGGAGAAGCCGCGCAGCCCCTTTAAAGAGCTCACGGCTTCTGCGGGCTTTTGCGAGAGGTGAGGGAATCCCCCCACCTCCCAGGAAAGCCAGAAGAAGCCGGTTTTGCGGGAGGTGGGGGAATTCCCCCACCTCCCAGAAAAGCCAGGAAAGCCCTGCGCAGCATCTCCCGACAAGGAGAGGCTGCGCGGGGCTAAAGGGGAAGGCAAAACAGCGAGTGGGATCCATCCCGCCCGCTGCCTTGCCTTCTTCCATAGCCGCGCGCTACCCCTCCGCAAGGAGAGGCTGCGCGGGGCTAAAGGAGAAGGCAAAACAGCGAGCGGGATCCATCCCGCTCGCTGCCTTGCCTTCTTCCATAGCCGCGCGCAACCCCTCCGCAAGGAGAGGCTGCGCGGAGCTAAAGGGGAAGGCAAAAGAGCGAGCGGGATCCATCCCGCTCGCTGCCTTGCCTTCTTCCATAGCCGCGCGCAACCCCTCCGCAAGGAGAGGCTGCGCGGGGCTAAAGGGGAAGGCAAAACAGCGAGTGGGATCCATCCCGCTCGCTGCCTTGCCTTCTTCCATAGCCGCGCGCAACCCCTCCGCAAGGAGAGGCTGCGCGCAGCTAAAGGGGAAGGCAAAACAGCGAGCGGGATCCATCCCGCTTGCTGCCTTGCCTTCTTCCATAGCCGCGCGCAACCCCTCCGCAAGGAGAGGCTGCGCGCAGCTAAAGGGGAAGGCAAAACAGCGAGCGGGATCCATCCCGCTTGCTGCCTTGCCTTCTTCCATAGCCGCGCGCTACCCCTCCGCAAGGAGAGGCTGCGCGGAGCTAAAGGGGAAGGCAAAAGAGCGAGCGGGATCCATCCCGCTCGCTGCCTTGCCTTCTTCCATAGCCGCGCGCAACCCCTCCGCAAGGAGAGGCTGCGCGGGGCTAAAGGGGAAGGCAAAACAGCGAGTGGGATCCATCCCGCTCGCTGCCTTGCCTTCTTCCATAGCCGCGCGCTACCCCTCCGCAAGGAGAGGCTGCGCGGGGCTAAAGGGGAAGGCAAAACAGCGAGCGGGATCCATCCCGCTCGCTGCCTTGCCTTCTTCCATAGCCGCGCGCAACCCCTCCGCAAGGAGAGGCTGCGCGCAGCTAAAGGGGAAGGCAAAACAGCGAGCGGGATCCATCCCGCTTGCTGCCTTGCCTTCTTCCATAGCTGCGCGCAACCCCTCCGCAAGGAGAGGCTGCATGGGGCTAAAGGGGAAGCCAAAACTTGGCTTGCTCCATAGCTGCTCGCAACCCCTCCAGCAGGGAGAGGTTGTGCGCACCCTGTATGCTGCTCTTTGGGGCTGGGGGGGAGAAAAGATTTTTTTCTTGATTTCCCCCCCTAAAAACTGGGTGCGCCCTATGGTCCGGTGCGCCCTATGGTGCGAAAAATACGGTAATTTTAATTATTTTTCATTCAGCAAACTCCATGATAAGAATTTCAAGTTCTTACTCCAGGAAACTGAACTTTAACAATTTAAACTGAACAAATTTAAAATTTAAAACATTTGAACATAAACTTTTTTTTTTTCAAATTTGTAATAGACTTTCATAAAGTAAACAAGTGCTGAACACTATTTAGGACATCTTCTTCATTCCTGATTCTCTTAAAAACTGGAAGGGGGACAGCACTCAGGTTTGAAAATTAATTCCTGAATTTTCCTTCCAACATTTGTTTTGATATTTCCAAGCATATACATATTTAGCATTTATC